CTCCAAGATTGGTGTAAAATGTTGTAATAAAAAAAAGACTCGCAGGAATCCTAGAGGCCTGCCAAACAACTTACATGTTAGCTGTGTAACATATTCCATGCATTCAATCATAGACATAATCACCAAGACATTAACCTTTCCACGCAATGTTTACCGAACTTTAATCACCAAAGCTTACCAGAATTCTTAACAACCACTATTTACATATATTGACAGTATGTCTATGCATCTTTTCCCAGTCCGGAAACCAAGACTGAGCCTGATGGTTTCAACCTTGAACACCATCTGTGAATGTTGAGTATCATTCCATGTGCATGGTTCACACATAACACACAAACACGCAAGAATATACATACAATAATAACTACGGATATATATATATAAATATATATTAAATCAATATTAATATATGTCAATACAACATTTAAAAAATAACCAACAACTATAAAATGACTTTTTCAAGGACCACAATCCACCAGCTGACTGGCGACACCTCGACCTCGGACAGGCCTCCCCACCCACTTTGGCGAGCCCGGCCACCGCAAGGGCCTCAACACATCAAACCGTTCCCTTTGGGACCGTTCCGAAATGGGTCATCTTTTACATCGAATCTTACAATGTGGGCCCTCCTAGTCATAAGTTGGTTTATAATATTTATAACCCCATCTAAGTATAGGTATAACTCTCATAAATACTAGTTATTGCAGTTATAAACCAACTGAACGCTATCTTGGGGGACCCACGTTGTGTACATGTCAAAAAAATGGGGTAGACACCCAAATGGCTACTTTGTATGGTGAACAACATATGATCATCCTATGGATACATATCATCATCGATGATCCTAGCATCTAACAAGATGAGTAGACGTTCATGTGTTGGGACTCAAAAAAAAGCCATGAAACCACCCGACCTGCTCTTTATGTGGTGAGAGATCACTCTGCTTCTTATGGTTTCTTTAGTTCTCTCATGTTCTCTCATGTTCTCTCGTTCTTCTTCAAGTCACGCCGTTGATTGGCAAACTGTGATTTTTTTACCACTCCACAAATTCTCAGAATGACAGGCCCAGGGCTTTTCCATGGCTTTTCCCAAAATGATGTTCATGAGGGCCTGCCGCCCCTATCCTATATTGCTTCACCTCTACAACTGCTGGAAAAAAAGGTGACCCAGAGCTTGGTCGGTAAACTCCAGACTATCACTCCTGGGTTCAAGTGGACCCGGACCATGTCAACATTGACTCAAGATTCATATTCAACCGCCAGGTTACTACTAGGGGGAGTAGCAATTTCAATAATTTCAATGGTACGTTGTCAGTTTCTGAAAGTCACCGGGATACCCTGCAAAAAAAAACAACTTATATAGCTGGTGAGCGTAAACATATAATTCCATTGATACCAAAAGAAAATAAACACCTAAAGGATTAGTTTCTACCCATCTAAGATTGACCTATAGAGAGTAGTTTACCAGTTTTTCCCCGCTGGGCAGAACATCTCACAGCCACCTTGGCAGAATCGCCCTCTGTCAATATCAACGTGCCTTGGGCGACGAGAAATCATCGGGCCCGTCGGGTGGTTTTGGGGGGTTCTGTTGCCAAACATCAGGTGGAAACACACACCATCTGGTTATTTAACATAGCCATGGAAAATCACCATTTTTAATAGGTAAACCATCTATAAATTGGCAATTTTCCATGGCTATGTTCAATAACCAGAGGGTATGTGTTTTTTGGAAACAACACATTTGGACCATTTAAAGAAAATGGATTTTGCTGTATGTGTGTTGCTTTCTCCAATTACCATGTTCGACTACGGGAGTCGACATATTTTCTTTAAGTCAGTATAGTGTACGACCATGATTGACCATGGAGGCTTGTACTTCCTCCACAGACGGTCAAGGTCACCAAAAAAAACATATGCAGCCAAGGTGAAGCAAGTGAAGCTTCGTTTTTCACACCCCCTTGCGTTGCTCTATCATTTGTGCACACAGGATCCTGAATTTTACCTTCTATGTCTTATCAGTTCTGAAGCTGAATGCAATGAGCACTCTGATGCACAACTGGATGCATACCTTTTGCAAGTGCTTTGCGAGATGTACCAGAGCTTTTTGGATAAAGAGCTGCAACATTTCACACTTGGCTGCCAATCTGTGTTGCCATGTTGTAATTTTCATGTTGAAACTCGCACAAATCCAGAGATCCAAACGGAGGCATGATGTCACTCAGGTACGTGACTGGAACAAAAAAAACTGGGCATTGCAACCCGCGGCCCAGTGGCCATCTGCCTTGTAATTGAACCCTGGGGCTCGCATCATCTAAGCAAATTTGGCCTTGGAGAATGGTTTGCTTTGCTTCTTCCCAGCCTTGTTTTGTGACACACGACACAGCGGGCACAGACCGTGCCCTTCATGTCCTAGATGTCTTTCAGCGATCCTTTGTCCACAGCAAGCACATTGATGTCGCTGAAACGTATGAGACAACTATAAGGCATTATAAGGCTATATTGAGGGTTGTTAACATCTATTATCCCTATCAGCCCTGATTGTGGGGTGACAGTCAGCTCCCAATGGAAGTTCGGCCGATGGGTCCAAAGCATCAAACACTTGTCAAGGTTGTTTGCAAATTCGCAGAGCAAACGCTCTCTAGTGACTCTAGTAATTGAACATAGCTGCGGAAAATCACCATATGTTCTATAGCTAGAGCATGAAAAAACATCTCTTAACAAATGGACTTTCTTCAACTACAGGAGGCCAATGTTTTCTTTATATATATATATATATCAAACACCACTCCAGCTACGAGTCTGATCAAATACCACTCCAGCTACGAGTCTGGTTCCCCGAGTGTTGGAAGCTCATTGAGTCAACAAATCCCAAGGGACCATCTGGTTATGACTAACATAGCCATGGTATAGATGGCCCATTTATAGACGGTTTACCTATGAAAAATGGTGATTTTCCATGGCTATGTTAAATAACCAGATGGTAATCATTGTAATCATAATTCCCTAATACTGACCAAGTTTTTTGGGACTATTATCATTGATTGACCATCTCAGGATGCGTAATCATGGTCAATTCCCTGGGACATGTTTGAACCAGCTGCCCGTTCATGCGATGATCCGAAAGTTGCTTCAAAATCGCCCAGTTGCAGCTTTCTCCTCTCTTCCCTGCGTTCATCGCATCTTCCAGCCTTGCTCCCACAGTGTGCAACCCAAATGTGGAAAGACATTGTGGATAGCTTGGGGGTGCGGTTCTGGTTATAGATGAGGGGTTCTCTGCATGGTAATAACCCCCATGAGTTGAGATGTCACCATAACCATGGTTCTATAGCCGCATATGAGTCTCATATGAGTGAAACTGCAACCCCCAAGCATAAGACCAACATAGACCAACCGTTTTCTGGGGTAAATGAGACGTAGTATCACTAAACGTTGATAAACAATGATACACCGGATTCATCAGGGGATCACCAGCAACAAGAACCACAGTGGTATCATATATCGGGCATGGCTTTCAATAGCAACACGTTATAATTTGGATGATTTCAGGGTAGTCCCCTTCTTCAAAGCGGATCAAATATCTCATATATTCTAAATTCTATTGCAAATAATTACTAGTATTTACAGTATTTGCCATCATTATATACTACTATTATATACCATCATTCAAAAATGATGTTTCCAGAAAGACAAATCATGGATACAGTGCAAGCTGGGTTGTTTGAAGCTTTGTCAAGGCTTACACCTAGAAATCTATCAACCCTTGAAACTGATATTACCATAGTTTATCTGGTTTTGCTCATAATTAATGGATATTTTGGTGGTGCAGTTCGACTAATAAGTGCGGTATAACATGGTAGAACATCATAGTTGTAGAAGTTGTAGGGGTTGCCGTGTTAGACCCATTGGAATAGGATATGCAACAAATCACAAGCTAGCTTCCCAGCTGCATCGGCGCCGGAAATTTTCAGCGCCTTCAATGGACCAAAAATCATAGATTATAGATAAGAATACACAGGTAAACCATAGAAATCTAAAATAGTAAAGCACATTAAGTAAGCCATCCAACACATATCACTAAAAGTTGACCAACTCATAAACAGTTAGTTCTTTACAAAGCATAGTAAACCACAGTAAACCATACACGCATCGACCCTCAAGTCACACCCATCATTTCCACCATTGCTAGGTTCCCTGCTTGGCTATGGACGGCGGCGGCCCCGACGACAAGGCTGGCCGGGCGCGTTTCTTTCGGGGGGTGTACATATAAATATATATATAATTTATTTATATTTTTGTAAACATATATATATATACACATATGTGGGGGTTCTTTCTGGTTGGAGCGATTTACCTTCAATGTAGGACGTACTAGGCAGGTCACCAGGTTCATCCAGCCGCACCTTTCTGCATGCTGCGGAGCCGGGTGGCCTAAGGCGCCAGATCAGGACGAAACAACTGGCGCTTAAATTTTGTGCCCAAAATCGTAGAGTTGATACAATGTGGTGCCCCCCAGTTTATAAACCCCATTAAGTATTAGTATAGTTATATTTACCATAAACCATAGTTATTGGAGTTATACCATGTGCCCAATTTTTATGGATCAGCATTATGTGGACCTTTTGAAAGCACCTACCTGGAATTGATAGTATAGTTGATAGATGTTGATTATCGTATACCCAAAAAATGGATCAACATTGTGGATACATATTCGATGGAAGATATGGACAGGATGGAACAGCCGCAAAGAGCTGAGAGGTACGCTCTGGTAAACAAAATGTCAAAACATACTAATGTTATGTAATGTTCCATTGCTACATCAGATTTCCAGAAAAAAAAACTTTACTTCGTGTGATCCCCACCATGACATTTATACATGTTACTACTGGCAAATCTTCTGGCATTCTATCTGACATTTTATCTGGCATTCTATCTGGCATACCTTCTGGCATTTTATCTGGCATATCTTCTGGCATTCTATCTGGCATATCTTCTGGCATTCTACCTGGCATATCTTCTGGCATATGTTCTGGCATATCTTCCGGCATTCTATCTGGCATTCTATCTGGCATATCTTCTGGCATATTATCTGGCAAATCTTCTGGCATTCTATCTGGCAAACAGTTCGGCACTTTATCTGGCATATCTTCTGGCAAACTATCTGGCATTCTATCTGGCATATCTTCTAGCATTCTACCTGGCATATCTTCTGGCATATCTTCCCGCATTCTATCTGGTTTTCTATCTGGCATATCTTCTGGCATATTATCTGGCAAATCTTCTGGCATTCTATCTGGCAAATATTCTGGCACTTTATCTGGCATATCTTCTGGCATTCTATCTGACATTTTATCTGGCATTCTATCTGGCATATCTTCCGGCATTCTATCTGGCATATCTTCTGGCATTCTATCTGGCATATCTTCTGGCATTCTATCTGGCATATCTTATAGCTTTCTATCTGGCATATCTTCTGGCATTCTATCTGGCCGTTGAGGTCCAGCGGTGCACACTGAGCTGGGCAGGTCCCAGGTTGAGGTCTAGCGGCGCACACTGAGCTGGGAAGGTCCCAGGTTGAGGTCCAGCGGTGCCCACTGAGCTGGGAAGGTCCCAGGTTGAGGTCCAGCGGTGCCCACTGAGCTGGGAAGGTCCCAGGTTGAGGTCCAGCGGTGCACACTGAGCTCGGACGTTGGCGAAGAGCTTGGCGAAGAGTTGGCAAGGCAACAGTGGACGTGGAAGTGGAGGCAGAGGTGGTAGAGGAGATGCTGGCGGAGGAGGAGCAGGAGGAGCAGGAGGAGCAGGAGGATAGCTAGCCGAGGAGGAGGAGAACAACTGTGATAAAATCTAACAACCCTCACCTGCAGGTGGGGAATCACAAAATTCACACGTGCCAACACAAGCTGCAATTTCTATCAATATACCATCCCCAATGGGGGTCTACTACTGGGGATGATGTAAAATGACACCAAATTGGTTGAGTAGCTGAAATTGCTTACAAAATCATAGTTTTATTTGTTACATAGTTCCCTTAAATCGAAAACCATTTCCGGCCGTCTTGGCATCTTTTAGCCGCAAAATATATCCTATATATATATATATGTACCTAAATATATTTATAATATTTGAGCATATTGTATATGAATAATACATATATATATATAATATATATATATATAACAGTCGTAACTTAGGATATCTACCAATGAACTGAGCCAAAGCGCCAAGCGCTGGGAATTTGGGACATCCACTGTTAAATCACCAGAGGATGCATCATCATATTCCATAATATCTCATGATACCACCTAAATCCACCTAAATCCCCAAAATCTGAGTTGATGGGAACAACTGGTGGATTCAGGGAACTCGAAGGCATGGCCCATCATCATCATCATCATCATCATCATCATCATCAACATTATAACACACTGTCCTTTTACTGCCCCCACACTGTTTGGTAGATCCGTGAAACGACCGTTTTCCTCGTGAACCCCGCCTCCATGGCTTTGATGGCAGCGTCCAACACACCCAGCCTCCATGCAACTCACAGAAAAAAGTACCGGGCGCCGCCGTACCGTTTGATAAATCAGAGACGATGTGTACGTATGTATATCTATATAAATATATACATACAGGAATGGTTAGTTTAATGGTGTATATGTGTACATACATACAGTAATGGTTTGTTTTTCATAAAAATAATGGTTACTACAGTAGCGCTTAATAATGGTCTGCGGTGCTTGATAAGTGATATCGAATTAATTGTCAATAGTGATTGATCATAGTTTAATAATGGATAACCACCAGTAGCGCCGCACAAGGCGGTGGCGGAAGTTTCAAAAATAGGAAACCTATAGGAGAGATTGGTTGCTGTGAATCACGGATGGCAGAGCGAATCCACTGATGGACCGCAAGGTGGTTGGAGCTGTGTTTTTTGGAGTGGCTGCAATGGTTGCAGTGGTCACCTGGTCGGTCACCTCACCCACAACTGCTGGATGTAGTGTGGTGTAGTGCAGCTGTAGTCGTAGTTGTAGTGTGGTGGAGTTGCAGGTGTGGTGTAGTGCAATTAGTGTAGTGTAGTTGCAGTTGCATTTGTGGTGGTGTAATGAGTGTAGTGTAATGTAATGTAATGCAATGCAATCTGGGGTAGGGTAGTGTAGTGTAGTGTAATTGGGTGTAGTGTGGTGTGGTGTGGTGTCGTGTGGTGTAGCGTAGTGTAGTGTAGTGTAATGCAATTAGTGTAGTGTAGTGTAGTTGTGGTTGTAGTTGTAGTTGTAGTGTAGCGCAGGGTAGTGCAATGTAATTAGTGTAGTGTAGTGTAGTTGTAGTTGTAGTGTAGTGCAGTGCAGTGCAGTATAGTGTAGTGTAATGTAGTGTAATGTCATTAGCGTAGTGTAATGTAATGTAGTGTAGTCGCAGCTGCAGTTGCAGTTGTAGTTGCAACTGTAGATGTAGTGCAGTGTCATTCAGTGTCGTGTAGTGTAGTGTAGTGGAGTGTAGTGTAATTGAGTGTAGTGTACTCCACTTCGATGGCGACGCAGAGGGGTCTGTTTGTTCCCCTGGAACCTTGCCCTCGATCTCTGAGCGTACCTGGTCATGTACGCATTACTGCACAGGGAACATATCGAAAGGCAGCCCAAGCAGCGAGAAGTTCCACGATTTTACTTGGATGCAGCGACCCTTGCATCCTCCACTGGCGCATCATAATGGTCTCCGCCTGTGGCAGCCTGAAGGAAGTCCAGGTCCCCCACGATCAAGCTGTTGCCTGGCAAAGCAGCAGCACAGGCCGCTGAACATCATGGACCACCAATCCTCCAACAAGGCATTGGAAGTGTTGAATGTTCTATCTCCAGGATAGCTATCGGTGAACAGAATGGTCGCATATCTTGAGTTTTCCCTCTTCTATCTACCGGCTGCAACGCAGACCAAGAGGTGTAGTGATAAATCACTTTGAACTCCTCCGGGATCTCGACTTCCGCCAGATGAGGATAGATTGGCACTCGGGGCAAGGTCCCGTTTGCCAGATTTTGCCAACGGAGAGGTTAGATCATCATAGGTTAATATTGACCTACATGGCCATGATATCTCCATGATATTCCCATTTTATGTGGTTTTACTGTCTGTTACCATCTGGTTATGACTAACAGTTTGCCATGGAACATCACCATGCTATTAATTGGTTATGACTAACATAGCCATGGAAATCCAACCATCTTTAATAGGTCAACCTCAATAAATGGGCTATGTCCCATGGCTATGTTAAATAGCCAGAGGGCATATCATGTTATATCCATTTATATCCCCATTTCTTGCATTATTCTTGGCGGTTATCCTCACTAATCATCATTCCCCTTTTGATCCATGGCCACCTCCTGAGGTACCTACCTCACCCCCCCAAATCATAGTCCAAACACTTCCTAAGAAGGTACGACTGGATCCATAGGGATTGGTTTAATCTCTATGTTTTACTATCCAGCCAAAGTTCCTAACCTATTCAGCAAGGGTTTCCCCGTTTCGCCCAAGGCATCCCAAGGCACTCCGCCACCGTCTCGATGAACTCGCTGGACAAGATGAAGTCAAAACCTATGGAACAAAGGGGAACCCGAATAGCTCAAGGAAATCCTCCTTTTCTTCTGTCTTTTTCATTGATCTATATCCCGACTTTTCCCGTTCCGAAATGGTCCAGATGCATGGTGGTTTTTCCCCATATCTAAATTTTAGTTTACTGGAGCATTTCTTATATCAACCGTATTGGGGTACCCCATTGAAACAAAAAATACAAGAGGATCAGATCCGCCACGACGGTCAATGTTCCTAACACACAAGAAGTCTTCATGAATCCCCCAAAGAACCACTTTTTTTGTAAAATTAATGAGGATTAGTGGTCTTAAATGGACATGCATCCAAAAAATGAATGGAGGATTGGGGATTGATAGGGGACACACATGGATTGGAGGGATCAGGATGTAGCGATCAAAACTTTTATCAACCATGGACTATTGCCAACAATGGGATGACAATCATTATGACAAAGCCTTGTGAATTGGAACATCAACAACAATAATATACTAAAAAAACTGATAAGCATACTTTTTTGATACTTTTTGGTGGTATCAACAATAATATCAACAATAATACCAACAATATATAGGGATGGTATAAAAATATGCTGTTTAGTTGATATTATGCTTCCGTATAGTTGATCAAGATTAAAGAATAATATCAACTATAACTGGTTGGTGGTTGAGCCTACCCCTCAGTTGGGGTTACTATTCCCAACTGAATGGAAAAATAAAAGCCATGTTCCAAACCACCAACCAGATAATATCAACTATGATATCAACTTTTCCCATGGTTTTCCCAAGATTCAATGGATTGGTTGTAGGCAAAAAAAAAAGTGGATCATCGTCCCACTCTGGCATGGGTGAATGAGGATCATGGGCTAATAGGTAGACCATATCGGTATCCAAGGTCCTTCATGGAATCAGGGATGGGAGAATGTCTAGATAATATATCCATGTATAGATAATACGTGGATTACGTATCCCAGTTTATGGATTCTATAGCTCCGATGTCTAGACGTATCCCTTCACCAGCTACCAATTGGCATGATCAGGTGGCGCAAATCCAATTTCAGGATGTTGACAGGCAGCAATTCTCGGGTAGCAAACCTGATTGGTGACAATGCGAGTACTGTAATCAATAGTAATCATACTTAGGCAGACCTTGGTTCATGGCTTCCAGCATTCCCCCATTGAATAACGCGGGTCGATTGATCTTAAAAAATATATCATATTATATCATATTATATCTATGATTCTGCTTGAAATTTAATCTATATCTTATATTGTTATGCAACTTATGCCATCTGTTTGTAAAATCACGTCGAATCCATATCCCATGGGTATCTCAACATCCACGTCCCAGGTGGACCGGACCCAACTTGTGCGTGGTGGTGGTGAGTCGTGTCTTGGTTTGCGAATCGAAATCCTCGGGCACCAAGGCACTGGTCATCCCGAGGGTTGGCTGAAGCTGGATGTTCAATGGGAATGGATTGGTTTTCTTGGGAAAATCTACAGGAAACCCATGGGTTTTTGCCATCAAATATAGGGCTTTCCTGTAAATTTTCCCATCATCCAATTCTATGACAATGGGAGATCTTCAGGATCCTAAAATGGAGGTACTTACTGTACCATATAAGGCCATATTTTGCTGGGATATTTCCTTACATAGGCCTGAACATAGGCCTTCTATATGGTAGGTACCTCCAATTTAGGTTCCTGAAATGGCCATTGATCTATGGGGGTTTCCATAGTCATGGGACCCCAATATATCGCTGTTTTATCAAACCGTCCATATCAGCCATGAGGGATCCCCATTGGAAACCATCCAACATATGTTTACACACGGTATTTGGAGGTGTTTCAAAAAATTGGTGATCCCCAAAAACCCATTGGGTTTCAGATGGTTTCAGTACCAAGATCGTTGAGTTGGGATGAGGTTCGGTGTGGTGCAATTCGCAACCTGGCAATTGAGCAGAGGCAAGTGAGTTGATGGAGGGTCAAACACCTCATTTCCTGCAAGTTTGAATGTAAAGTAAGTATCATTTTTTTGTTGGTAGACTTTCATGGAACACACCTTGAGAAAAACAACTGCTGGTAATTGGTACCAGAATTCCTATTTTGGAGTCCCCAAATTTGGTCGATTTTTTCCGGATTTTTCCACCACCATGGTTTCGCTTGGCTACCTTTGTATACATTGTAGTCTTTGGTGGAATCATTATGTATACCCTCTGGTTATTTAACATAGCCATGGTATAGATGGTCCATAGAAATCGACGGTTTACCTATTAAAAATGGTGATTTTCCATAGTTTTCCCATTAAAAATTGTGATTTTACATAGTTTACCTATCAATAGCATGGGTGGATTTTCCATGGCGAACTGTTAGTCATAACCAGATGGTAAACCTCCACCATCCTCCACTTTTTCTGCGAGATTTTCACCTACCACCCACTGACCGCCCACAAAAAACTGCAACGTTACCCAAGTGGAAACAAAGGATTTTCCGACATGAAAGAGGGGGTTATCAACCAACCTCCATTTACAAGCGCTATATAAGAGGATATTAATTAGGCTACATTTAGACATGCAAGCCAGGCTTTTTTCAGCGACTTAATCATCTTAATCCATAGCCTGCGCCCAGGGACAGGGTTATCCACCAAGACTTTGACGATGATGCGCAAATACTGTCTCACCTGTCGGACGGTGACATGACGGACATATCGGATCGTCGGATCGGATGTCGCCCGATTCGCGAAGGACCAGAATTCCAAAGTCACAAATGTTTTGGGATCTACATTTAATAGTTCCAACTAGTAGAACCATCATATAAATAACCATGATATAATGTCAAACTCATTTGTTTTGGATCTACAGTTAATAGTTCCAACTACTAGTAGAATCATTACATGACAACATGATGATTCCCCTGACTTTCCATCATCTACAATAAGGATTGAGGATTATCATCACCTTTGCCACAACAGAAAGGCTGTTTACTGCTTTAAAAGCAGACTCCGTGCTCAAAAGAGGAATCTTGGCAGTGGCATTTTTGCCATCTGCTTATCTAACATAGCCATGGAACATCTCTATAAATGGAAACTTTATAGCTGGGATCATCTGTAAATATGTGCCATGGATTCCATGGCGAACTCTTAAATAACCAGAGGCTACCCCAGTTGTATCCATTGATGGGCGATTTCGCCAAGGCAAAATCCAGAAGTTTTCCATTGGCCCGAAGGAAGTGATGACATGGTAGAGTTGCTACAATTTGATGACACCATTTCATCCCCGTTGTCAGGTATTGTCGGTATTGTTCCATGAAAATGCTGGGTGTTAATGCTGAGATTTGCTGAGTTTCCATGGTCAATCCTGGTCACGTTGGTCACAAACATGGCTACCCTCTGGTTATTTAACATAGCCATGGGAAATGGCCCGTTTATAGAGGTTTACCTATTAAAACTTGTGATTTTCCATGGCTATGTTAAATAACCAGATGGTAACCCTAATTAAAAATAGTTAGCAAACACATGGCCCATAAAAACATATCACCACCTATCACGATTTGTGACAAATCTAACAAAACCAAGGTTCCCCAGTTGCGTTCCAACCACCCAACTGTCGTTTTGCTAAATGTATTACAAAATCATCGCAGTTCCCCATGTGTTCCAAAGTTTTCACCAAGTTTTACCCAAGTTTGGTCCAAATCAAAGTCGTGTCATCGCTGGGAGTTCCAGCTGTTGCATCCGAGGGCCGCGAAGTACCTGTCGTCACAGATCCACATCTGGTACCCTCCGGTAATCAAACGTGGCAATGGGAAATCCCCTCTAAATGGAGGTTTTAATGGGTAAATTATCTATAAATGGTGCATTTTCTATTGCCAGGTTTGATTACCGGATGGTAAACTAACAAAACCATGGAAAATGGCAATTTATAGATGATTTACCTATCGATCAAATGTGTTGTTGTTGTTGTTGTTGTTGTCGTCCATAGCTATCTTAGTTTACCAAAGAATTACTGCACTAAGGCACCTATATTTGTTGTATAAAAACATCCCCAATGTAAGAAACTATATACAAATATCATTATTGTTTCTGTACAACTTATATATTTTATTATATTCTATTTTATTACATTATGTTATATTACATTATATCAAATTATATGCATACATGCGTTATATTATATAAATATACTACATTATTATCATTATTATTATTATTATTTTTATTACTATTAATATATATATATATATTATAATACTATATAATATAATATTATATTATACTCAATATTATCAGATTATATTATGTTATACTATGCTATAAGGGAGGCCCATGGGAACCAGAACCCTGCCCAAATCAAATCAGAACTCTGGGAGAGGGAAATCAAGATAGATCATGATTGATCCAAATCACCCAAGATATGATGGGGCCCATTCCAGCGGGCCAGCAGCAACTTTTTTCTCAAAATCCCATCAGCCCGGTCGGCTGTTGTCCGCAACTCAGCAGCGAGTCAGCGACTGCACAGCCGCACGTCCACGAAGTTTGGCCTGTCGGATAGGACCATAATATGCATGACAGATGATATGGTTTTACTTAGAAAGTCAAGTCATTGAATGATACTTTGGAAATCAAACCGACTGTTGACTTGTGACCATTTTTTTGATCCCTATCCCATCCCTGACTGGCCACGACGTTTCGCTGCACCTCCTCTTTGCTGCAGCCACGACGTTTCGCTTCGTGGTAGGCACGTGAGTATACATTTCCTGGGTCTGTCTTCAGCTCTTTGGTAGTCGTCTTGGTCTTTGCATTTGCTTTCCCCTTTGGTTGTGCGCTCTTTCCTTCTCCTTTGCTCTTTCCCTTTGTCTTTGGCCTTCGCACCGCACTTTGCTTTGCACTTTGCTTTGGGGACAGCTTTCTGGACCAACCTCAGGAATGAGGGAGAGAGAACCGCAGGGAAATCTAAAAAAGTTAAACATCAGCAATGACACAGGCGAACATGGAATGCAGAAAGGCAGGAATTGACAGAGCAAATAGATGCTTAGGAAAGGACTCTTCAGGCACAGGCTTTTGAAAGATGGGAGGCTCCAACACTTTCTCCACCGCAAGGCTTGGAGGTTCCTGGATGGAAATCAAATTAATGAAGCACACTCAGTATGAATACAAGACTGATAGCTAGCACACCTTCGGTGGAAGGAGAGGCGAGGGACAACTCTCATCATCAACACCATGGTCAAAGAATGACCCTGGGACCTCAGCTGGATAAGCCATGCAATGAAATATCAAGAGCTAATAATGTACCATCAATAAGGCCTGCTCAAGGCAACAACTGTAACTCAGGGAGGCGCCCCAGCAGTTGAGTCGAAAGAATCGGCACGGGTCAACGGAGGAGAGGTAGGTGAAACATGGTGACCATCCAAACCGATAGACTCCTTGCACATCAGGCCGCAGCTATTGATTGAGGGTGCTTTGCACAACATGTAGCAAATAGCAGATGAAACAAAAAACAAAAAACTATGGCCCAATCATGAGATGAATCAAAGTCTCCTTTGGCTGCAGTGCATCATCAGACGCTGCACCTGCTGGGCCTTTCATAGCCTCCTGACAGTGAGATCATTAGCTCCATACTTTTTGAACAAAAAAGTTGCCCAATCATGAGATGAATCAAAGCCTCCTTTGGATGCAGGGTATCATCAAACGCTGCACCCACTGGGCCCCCCATAGCCTCCTGACAGTGAGATCATTAGATTTTTTTTGGCACAGAAGAAAAACCCTAGAAGTGAACATATGCTGACTACTGTAAGTGTCTCCTTGTCATCATTTGGGGCCACATTGCTCATGACTTCGCCCTGGCAGTGACAGGTTCTAGCGTGATTTGTGTAGATCTTGCTGTATCAGACTGCCAAGGCCAATGCTTTCATGGACCGATGCGCCTTCTCGTACGGATCGCTCGGCATCTCAGCTGGTGTCTCCTGGCACAATCGCTGATTGCAAAATTTCATAACGCTTGACAGGTTGAATCTTTGAAGAAAGTTTATGACAATCACTGAGATGTCAAAGGTGTTGCAAATGAAAGTAACTGGTTGGCTGGTCGCATCCCATCTCATTCTTCACATCATGTTCCTGTTGCACCGTCTCCTGGTGAACAAAGCGAAGCAACAAAACGTGTTGAAACAATTTTTTGATGATCGCAGATTGCAGGTGTTCAAATCATTGACCTGCCCAAGAGCACTGACTTGCATGGTGCAACCTTTTTCCACCGCCTAAGGTAGCGCTTGTCCCCGTCATGAGCATTATCTTGCTTCCAGGCGTGCGGATGGGCCACACTCACGAAACAATTTGCTGAAAACAAATGGACCATTAGTCAGTACTTGCACAATAGTTTTATTTTGTAGTCAGGGTCGTTTTTAAATGAACTTTGATCAGCACCATGTGTTCAAAGTGCCCATGGCCATCCATCACAGAAGACTTGTGAACGCTACGGCTGTAAAAACAACCAACAGCTTTGTAGCTGTTGCTGTGCAAACGCCAAAAGGCAGACGACTCATCCTGACTTTTTTTGGGACCCATTTGACTCTCACTTCCATCGAGAGCTTGAACTGGAATCTCCGCGCCACTTTCCCCAAGTGTCCTCCGATTCCCAACTTTCCTGGGTTTGTTCATAGTAGTAGGAGGAACGCTTGTTCCATGAGTGCTGGTTGTCCTCATTGTCATTGCCCTTGGAGGGAGGAGCCCGGTATGACCAGGTGTGACGCTGATATGGCTCTTCATCTGAAATGATTTCCACAGCTTCAGTCTCCTCAGGTTCCGGCTCAGGTCCAGGTGGCATCTGGTACATGACAGGTAGGTGGTCTCGTAGTTTTCTGTCGTTTCATCGCGGGCTCCTCTTCCACGTGGTGTGGTGGAGGGAAAGGTGGCTCTCTTGGCTGGGGGTAGATGGCAGGCATCACCCGAGGTTGTGACTCTTCAGGAGGTACCATTCCATGTCCAGCTCCTGGAGGCGCTGGAGTAGGTTCAGGTTGTCCAAGTTGTCCAGGGTCTGCAGGTGTCATAGCAGCCCCATGCCGAAGTGGTCCAGGCTCTGCAGGCGCCATAGGAGACCCATGCCGAAGTGGTCCAGGTTCTGCAGGTGCCATAGGAAGCCCATGCTGAAGTGGTCCAAGTTCTGCAGGTGTCATAGGAAGCCCATGCTCATGTTGTTCAGGTTCTGGAGGCCCATCCGCCATTCGAAGTCCCATTTGTGGTGCCATTGTTGCTGCCTCTGCCACTGCTGCAGGCACCGGCGGCATTGCCATCGCACCATGTTTCGGAAGGTGGGCCGGCGCCACACATGGGACAAACGCCCAGACCCATTGGCCTTTCATTTTCAAGCTAGGGCCCAGCTTTGTCTGACTTAGTTGCATATATCATATATATATAGATCATTTATCATATTGCATTATATTATATTATATTATATTATATTATATTATATTATATCATCTTATTTGATATTACAATTTATATTATATTATATTATAATATATTGTATTGTGTGATATGATGTTGTATGGTATTATATTATATTTCACTATATTATACTTTATTATACTATATTGTAAATATATATATATATGTATTAAATTATATATTATAATTTGAAAATATTATACAAAACACATATATATGTATATGTGTGTTTAATAGCATACTATACAGTATATTAAATATATCATCTAATATAAGATTATACATACTATATAATTTCATATATTATATATACCTAATTCAATATGTCATAAACACTCATCAATGATATAATGAAAAGTGCTATACAACCAATAGTGTAACATATTATAAATAATATAGTTCTTAAATATTGTATCTAATGAATACAACCACATACAATCAACCGATATTGTTGTATATAAACATCACCCTATCCCATCTGATTTCTATGGTCTCAAGGTTACATTAGCGATACAGTAAGTATTAACTCAAATTGGAAACTTGATAGAACATCGACAGCAATGTACAGGGAAGGGATTAAACACCACACAGTTAGATGTAATGGGGATATCAACATTTTTTGTTCGAACATTCATTGGATTGGTTTAAGAAAAGAAACAGGAAACAGGAAACCCAATGACATGGGTGGTAAAGCACATGGCTCTGACAATTGTCCCATCTTTGTTTTGGATCCCGAATACCTAAGAGATCCTAAGAGCCAGAAACTGGTAACCTGGCACGTGGGAGAATACACACGGATACGAATCTATATAGTTAAATGATATTAAATGATGTTAAATGCTTACGTTTAATCTTGTTAATTTCCAACACACATTCAAATGCATAGATGTTTTCACATTAGAAAAACATACGTTTTCTCCAAATTCAAGGCAGTCCGCCGGCGACAGAATCGCCATCTCTGAATCGCACGGCAGGTGATTGATCGCCCCCAGGAAGGTTGGTCTACTTGGTGTGTTGATCCGAATACCATCTGGTTATGACTAACAGTGTGCCATGGAAAATCCACCATTTTTTTATGGGAAAACTATGGAAAATCACAGTTTTTAATGGGAAAACTATGGAAAATCACCATTTTTAATAGGTAAACCATCTATTTCTATGGACCATCTATACCATGGCTATGTTAAATAACCAGAGGGTACAAGAGGTTGGTGTTTAGGATTAGCCTTGCATCCCTGAAACACAAACATATCTCCCAACGTCAGGAATGTTTGCTTCAAAAATCAAGAAATCACCAAATGCAAATGTGGTGGATCTCCTAATCATTGATGGTGAAATCTTCAGCGTTGTTCCCATCGAATAATGCATTTACTTCCTGTTTTTTTTCAGTTTTTTGTTGATTCACAAATTTTAGTGTGGGCTACAAAGGGTTTACTAACAACTCAACACCATCTGGGGGTGTCTGCCAAATTTGGGGGCAACTGCCTTAGTTATACCATGCTATACCCCATTTTGCAGGGCTTTCCATTGGCCTTTAGTGATGCTGGTTGGTGGTATACCTACCCCTCTGAAAAATCATGGAGTCCATCAGTTGGGATTTTCTGACATGAATGGAAAGTCATCAATTTCCGTTCCAGTCACCACCAAGTTCATGAATAGGTGATTTTCTCATTTACTAATCATGTTATCAATAACTCGATGCCTCATTACCCATAGGATCCATGTATGGTATATATGCTAACATTTGGGATATATTGATGGTAAATGTTACCATATATGGCATACATGGATCCTATGGGTCATGATTCGCCGCTAAATCCCCAGGGGTTTTCCCCATGGGAAAACAAACCATCGCCTTGTTGGGCGACCATCTCGGCGATGCGATCAGTGATCTGGTCCGTCACGAGTTTCACCTGGGCGGAGATCGAGGGCGAAGATCCGAAGAAATCGACACAGCGAGATCCGGCGATCTCCATGGGATTTGCTGAATGGGATCAAACATGGATGTGGATTTTTATGTGGATTTTATATCATTTTATGCTGTTAGGCTCACCCCAAAGATAGAAAATCCATTAACATCATAGCTTTTGATGCCCTTTTTCTTGGTGCAACTGCCAAAGATTGTTGGTGACACTGGTCATACACTCCGCCAAAAGTCAAAAATTTGAGGGGTGTTCAAGCCACAATGTACTGAATCTGCGTTTTCCTTTTGAGGGTGAAATGTGGGTGACTTCACGCTGTCCAATGTGCAACATTGTTGGAATGTTCCACATATATCCACATATACAATGCTTCCAAATGTTCAACTCCCAAAGTCGTGCTGATATTGTCAATTGTCAATTTGAATGGTTCTTTCCCGTTCGACTTTATTGAGATTCCTCATGTTTCATGTCATTTCTCTCCCCTTCGTTTTCATTGCTTCTACCCTGTTTGTAAGCAAACACGGCGATTTGTCAAACAATTGCACAGAAGTTACCCAACAGAAATTGCCATGAGCCATTGCCATGTAGACCGGAGGGACAACCTCCACCTTCCCCCCAATCTTGATCATTTTTTTCTGGTCAACACCCCATGTTCAAATGGCGATTCAATCACCATACAATGGGGCATCCCAAGTCCATAGGACCGCAAATCAGAAGGGTCTATTCATCATCTGTTGCAGGGGGGGGGCAAACCATAGATACAGTAAGTTCAATAACTTGCTGAAAGTTTGAGTTTTATCGGGGATATAACTATAATATATTATAGCAAATGGGGTGAAAGTAGACTTAACTTGTAACTGGAGGGCACCTTGCATTGGATAAATAACTATTATCAACCATTATCATTCCATTAATTATATCCATTTATATCCTCCATTCTATTCCTGGTACATTCATTAACTTACCATCTTGTAATAAAACGTGAACATCGTCTGTACATGGAGGTTTCTAGCTGGGAAAATCATCGAACTAGGCAATTTTCCAGCCACGTTTTCTTACCTGATGGTATATCTTGTCCTAAATCTACCTGGTTGGTGGTTTTAACCATCTAAAACATATTAGTCGGTTGGGATTGTTATTCCCAATATATGGAAAAACATGTTCCAAATCACCAACCAGCTAAGGTATCATTTAACCATCACAATCAATTTTAGGAATTTAGCATCCTGAAATTCCCATGATATGACCCTTCCCATATCCCAGACTTATGAAGACATTTTTCGTCACGAAAACCTCAGCTCCACCACAGTGCCCTTAAGTCAGTTAGACATAGAATTATAACTCCTGTAACTAAGGTCATTGATAATCCCACATAACTCCTGGGCTATACCATAAATTCCAGATAAATATTGTAGCTATATGGAATTTTCCTAAATGGTGGTACCCATAGCTTCCAATACGGTTTCAACACTTGGATGACTTGGGGGTACCCCCATTTTTGGAAACCCCCATATTATGATGTGGGTAAAACAATAATAAACCATACCCCAAATCACCATAAATAGGTGGTATAAACCATTCCCAAATGGCTGGTGCATGGCATTGTTTTACCCACATTAGTTACATATTATATTATACTTATATATTGTCATGTTATGTCATAAATATTAGAGTTATATTATAGTTATATGTTGCAATTCCGAGTAATATATACATAATATGTATATATATACATATTATACTTTTAATATACGTATATTCCGTGAATATTCCATACATATTACATATGAATGTCAACCCCGGATTAATAAACAACAGTTTCTTAATTAGGGGGGTACTCATCCAATAGTCATAATCTGATACTTAAATGGTACCCTCCCAATTAAACAATCTAGGGGTTTATTAATCCAGGGTTGACATTATAGAGTTTCTGGTTACTTGATATATGTAATATATGTCTTCCCAGGTCCCCTCTACCGCAGTGTGCGGACCAAGCCACGTGCGTCCCGTAGCTGCAGCGGATGCCATTCACAAAGCCCAGCGCCGCAAAGCCGCTCTGCTCGGCGAAGGCCACGGCCACCTATCGAAACCAACGGGGATACGTTGGGAAAGGCACCTTTGTAAATGTAATACTGGTTGGTGGTTTCAACCCCTCTGAAAAATATTAGTCAATGGAGTCAATGGGAAGGATTATCCCATATATTTTGGAAAATAAAAAATGTTTGAAACCACCAACCAGTAATAGTTCATGTGTGTTAGATTGTGTTAGTATAATCCCCTTTTTGATACAATATGATACAATAATTCAACCCCATACCCATTTTGCTGAATCCCCATCAACTCCTCGACGCGATTTCAGCCGGCCTCGGCCCTCACACGGCCCTGCTGATCCCGAACCTCTTCAACCTGAAAACATCTGTGTTTTGCACAAAAAAAACTCGAATTCTCTGGGGAAAAGCTATCTGTCCTGAAACTAAGTCCTGAGATAAATTGAATGTTGTTTGATGTTGTTTCAAATCAGCACATATCGGGTGTTTACTACTAATTAGTTGTGCAAAAAAAAGGTTTATATTAAATATATATATATATGTGTAACTTTAAAATATATTAAGACAAGGTGGGGCGACCAAAATGGAATGGCTAACAAAAACTTTGAAACATGCCTATCACGCGCTCAGTTGGATAGTGCCGCCTGATTTCAATCACATCAATGTACAATATCCGTAGTTGAGGCTGATATCTCCCGAAGCGGGCCTTTCAATCGCAAAACATCCTGGCCATGAGCCTCCGGGCTTACTGAGTAAATACATAGAAATCATTACCTCTCGGTGCTTCTTATAACTTTGGTCATGCTGCGCACCTTCATTGGCGCTTGTGTGTGTATGTATATATATATACACCTTATCAAACAAACAAACAACAAACAAGAAAAAGTTGCGCGTGGACTGGTAGCCATGAATCCAAAGAAGGTTTGTGGTTCGTTTAGAGGTCACAACCCATTCAAATGGAAGGCTTGCCGGCCATGACGACCGACCTGACCAATTTCTGACCTTCACGCCGTTGCTGCCTCTTCGCTTCTCGAGGTTCAGTGCAAATAGCAGTACTTAAGCTTCAGTGCATTTGTAATTAGGGGATGGATTCTCTATATATATATATGTGTGAATATATATATATATATGTATATCAAAAAGTATATATATATATAATCATATATGTATAGAATGGGGATTGGACTCTTGGATTTAAACAGAAACATTGCCCTTTACGGATGCACGGATGCCATTTACGGATGTACCAAATCATGGCCGCGATTCCGTATAACGGAACATGCTAAACTGTGTGGGATGAACCATACATACTCCTGTAGCTGCTCATGAATATCATGTTTTCAATTGTTATAGCCTTTCCATGGCGAAAACACCATGTCGGATTTGCTCAAGGGGTTTCCTTAAAGAAATGGGGGGATGCTCCACCGAGATCCCCCACTGCCACATGATTTCCCAGCGTCATCTTAGAGAACTCCTGAGGGCCCAGGAAATTCCAGTGCTTTTGACAGACATGGGGAACTGCTGCCATTTTTGAGGTCGTTTCTGAGTCTGATATTTCACTTAAACATAATTTGAAATATGAGGATCAGAATGATCAGAATCAGAAATCTGGATTTCATATTTCACAATTTCACATATATTTGCACACACAAAAACTGATTCTGATAGTTCACTTCTTGGTGTTTTCCACCGGGATTCCAACTTTTTTTTGGCAAGACTTTTGGCACCAGCAATCCTCGTCCAGGTTAGAGATCATGATGTACTTTATCTATAACCTGGGTAAACTAAACAATTCATTAACAGCAATAATAATAACCATTATATGATCTATATCATGATATGATCTATAACCTGGGTAAATTAACCAATTCCAGTAAATGGGTATTTATAACTAACTAACCAGATATTATCCTCCTATTCCAACATGATATATTTGGTAATTGACCAGCAATTCCAACAGTACTTGGAATGGTCAAAAGACTGGCGCCAGAAAATAAGAGCATTTCTTTGTCCACTGAGAAACAGGCACAATGGGCACAGCAAATTGTAGCCAGATTTGAGGCTTGGAAACCTTCCATCTTTGATTCTCGGGAATCTCAAATGGGTTTGTCTGAAAATAGGGTATATTCCCAATGAAATAGCCATTTAATAGGCATAATGATCATTAACCATTGGGTTTAGGGGTACACTATTTTCAGACACACCCAAATACTTGGTGCTCACTTTGAGTGCACCTAGAGGGCCTTGCATAGAAGGATCAATGTTGTACCGGATGACCATGGATCAGTCCAGTCTAGGTGACGTGGGGGTCGAGTCCTCTGGGCCTCGTGTCGACCTGTCGTTTTGCTTTAGTTGTGGCCTGTCGTTATACCGTTTGGGCTTTCGGCTTAAAATGATCCAACATGCTGAGACATCCTTAAATTGAGTATTGTTGTGGGCCCTGCTGGAATGGCAGATTCATGTGGGAAAAAGCAAAAGAAGGAAACGCCAGATCCCATTCTCATGTAACTTGCGGCGGCTATCTACTCAGCCACACATCACAGCAAGGCTACGCTGGCAGCAAATCTCACTCTGCAAATTCACAAACAGGTGGAAATAATGATTACTCAGCAGCACCCATATATATATATACATACGTATATATATATATATGTATACTATATAGATATAGCACAAGAATGCACAAGACATATCTAACCTGTAGTGCCCACAATTCTTGGTACATGTGTCATGTGGCTCCTTTCACTGTGACCATGGGCAACCTTAGATTTAGTTGTAGTATGTTGTAGTAAATTAGCCAACTCACCAATTGGACCCCGCTCCCTCTGCTTCAAACCACCATTTTTGATGGTCATATTCTTACCCAACTGTACCCAGCTCACCACCCCTTCAGTGGTTGTTCAATGCTGTTCAATGCGCATGTGTGGTCAGTTACAGTAACCCAATGATAACCCCGATTTTCTTGGTTTCACCAGCCCGTGAAAATATCAGTTGATTTCCCCAGTTAGGTTGAAGTATACCCCCATATGGCAGTGTGTCAAAACCTTATACCCCTGGTGAACATCAAAATAGCTGGTAAATGGATGTTCATCCCACTAAAAATGGTATTAATAGGTATTGACCCATACCCATATATTGCTTGTAGAATCCCAAATCTGGACATTTCCCACATTCATCATCGATCTATGGATTGTTTTTTTTTCCCAGTACGGTCAATCTTATCGCAGGACCGCCAAAAGCTAACATAATGTGGATGGAAAAAATCCTGCACCACCTTGGACGGTTGAAACCCGATAAATAAGTATAAATCATGGGATAAACCATCTATCAACTGGTGCAGGATTTCTTCCATCCACACCATTTTCCTGACGCAACCTGTGCAACCCCACATTGTGATGGTTAAACGGCCAACTGTTGATGACTTTATGGTCCCCCACATGTTTGCTGGTCCCAAATCTGTTGGGAAATTCCACCAAATGATTGTGATGTTCACACTCCCTAATCTGTTGGTTAAACCACCATTAATACGCAATTATTTTGATGGTGCAATCTCATATTCGGCAGCGTCAAAAGAGGCTACATGTGGCATCATCACCCATCCCAGCATGGGAATCCAAGCACATGCATCCCCCAAAGCCTCGGTATGTCATTCATCTAACTTCACCATGGCACATATGTTGAAACGTGTTGACCATGTTTTAACATGTTTTACTGCTTCGTGGTTTGGAACATCTATTTGTTTCTCCATTCAGTTGGACTGACTTTCACTCCATCATTTTTCAGAGGGGTAGGGCTCAAAACCACCAACCAGTTGAACTGTCATTCAGCCATTTTCGGCGAAAAACTCCCCATGAAACCATTGATTCACCCACCGGGTCCTGAAAGCCTTGCACCGTGAGTGTTTCATTGTTGAAGGTCACCTGCACGTTGGAACTGGTACAGGCCTTGGCATGGTGATGATGGGCCGTCCTGTCAGTTGGGAATCGGATTTTTGGTGGTGCCCCAAGTCGTGAAAAACGAAGAAAAATGGTGGTTTAACCAACAAACATGGTGATTTAGTGGGATTTATGTCTGATTTATGTTAGCCAAGTTGGTTTAAGTTGGTGTATAACTGACATAACTTGGGGTTATGGATGTTTATGGTAGATATATTTACAGTAAACCAATGTAAACCGGGTTGATTAAAAAAAAAAGTGAGGGGGCAGCACCTTTTTGAGGTCCCTCGAGGATAGAACCATTTTCCAGGATGTCATAGATGATAGATGATGACAGTTACCTTATCATTCCATCAGCAGCGCAATGTTTTTTTTCAATTTTGCCCTTATGTTTTTGAACTATCCGACCCACACCAGACCCCACTATTCCCATTATGATGGTTGAAATGCCCATACATCTCATTAATATAACTGCCCACTACTCCATTCATATACCACTTATAGTATTTAGAGCTAATACTCCATCAATATCCCATTGTACATTTGTATGGGACATACTTTATAGTGAAATGGGACATAATATATCATTATTCCATTCCATGCCATTTATAGGTAATATTCCAATAATATATTTCCATTCTTCCGATGATCGACGCGCCGTTCCAGGTGACCCTGCAGCAGCATCAAAGGCGCGTGAACGCATCATCCTCAAGGCGCAACAAGGGCTTCAAACCAACGCTGAAAGGTGGAACTATGTGGGAAATCTAGGGTTGATGTTTGATAGGTAAGTTGGTAAACATCACTATTAAATACTATTCATACTAGTTATCAAATTTATGGTGCGTACATCTATACTTAGATGGACGCACAAAACTATTTGTGTTTGGGGGACCCCACCACATCATCTTCGAGGTGTGTGTGTGTGTGGGTGGGTATCATGCTGATGTCGGGGTGGACATTGCAACAAATGGTGTATGAACGGATCATGCTTTGAAACAAAATGAACACATAGAACCAAACAGCATTTATTAACAGCCACACAAGCCTGATACTTCTGATATGAAGGTTTTCAAAGACATCCATTGCTTTGACCCACCAAAAACGTCACCATCCCCGACCACGCTGGTGCATCAATGTGGGATACAAGCAACACCAGCAACGATATATATATATTGTGCTACCCCCCAAAGACCTACCTACTTTTGATCTTTGGGGTAGCACATGTCCTTGACATCCTCTTTCTTGCTGCTTATATTATCACATGATGTCGCATCATAGAAGGAAAGTACCCTTTCAGATGTCAAAAAATACACACATATACATATATATATGATTATATTTATAGATATATATATATATGATTATATATATAATTATATATATATATGTGCGTGCACACATGTACTTGGTTACTGCATTGTGACCTTAGCAGGTCGTTGAAGATCAAACATGTATGAAAAAGGCATGGCACTGTGAGCAAATGCAAAGATTTCACATGGTGTTCATTTCTTTGTCTTGGGTTGCTGCAACATTTCACCCCAAATCTGAATAATTTTTCTTGTCTTTATTTGAATGTTTTTGAAGGGACTTTGTCAGGAAGCTTTTGGTAATATATTTTTTTTCCAAAGAGGAATGCTGCACAGTTTGAAAGTCTCTTTGAAGAGTATTGCCCACTGGGCTAGTGCTACATCCTCTTATGCAAATGAACATAATAGTCATGATACAACACTGTTGAAGAAATCAATATACGATTCAAAACACAGTAATGAACCCAATAACAAATCTATACCAAGTCGTGCTGCGCATTTCAGAGGAATGTTCCACCATGTTTCTGTCTTTTCCCAAGGAATACTACGCCCTTGTTTCAATCTAGGCGCGCCATCAAAGTACTACTGCATCTAGAGGAGCATTCTATATAGTTTAAACAACACTACAGTGTTTAAAACTACACAACGCTATTTTCCAGACATGCATTCACTTCTACGCTTCTGAAAGAGAATAATAAGAGAATACTATTTCAAGAGAGTGCTACATCCATGCAGGGACTTTTTTGAAACTAAGGTTTTTTCGAAGTACGACTGCATCTATTGAGGCATTATATTATGACAAAACAATGCTACGATTTCTTGAAGGAATGGAATGCCCCATCATGTTTGAGGAATATGTCACATGTCACTCTGTTCCATGAATCATTGCAAAAAAATGCTACAATACATATTTTCTAGATATTTTGCTGTTTTCAATGAATACTGCATAGACCAAGAGAACGTCCTATTAAAGAAACGCATTGTTTCTTCAAAGGGACCTCACATGTTTGTTGCCATTTTCCAAGCAATCCTACGCCCGTGAAAAAGGGGTGCCAAGCATCTCCAGCACCCCTAGAATAATTTCTCCCCTGGGGAAGGGAAAGCCTACAAAATCGCACTCAACCTGGCCCTCTCCTAGACATTTTTGAAACCTTGCGTGCTTCCCCCCATTTCTTCCATATTCCCTTCATTGCCATCCAATGAACTCTCGAGAGAAAGTACTGTGAGAGAAAGGTGGTCCGTTGGACACTAGTTGTGCTTGCAAGTACACTGCAGAAAAAGGTTGGCATCAATTGCCCAAACTGCATGATGCCTCAAACAACTGCAATTGGCATTTCCTGCAAAAGGCTTTCAGGCAAACACCGCCAAGCTAGGAATGGCTTTTGGAAGGGCCAGGCCAGGTATAGATGCTTTAAGATGTTTTAAGTTTATATGAACTTATTCCAAAACATAATTATTCCAGGGTATGTTTAAGATGATTTTGAAATTCAAACATGCAGAATCGTAGACCCACCCCTTGAGGAAATTATTCAAGGGAAATTATTCCAAAATAATTATTCCATAATCTAGTTGATACCCTGGAATAATTGTTCAAGGGATGGGTCGTATTGCATCTATTCAAGAATACTAGATTTTAACACTGTTACATTTAGTTTTCTGAAAGAAATATGCACAATTTCCAGACATAGTGTGAAAGAATACAACACTACTTCAAAAGAGTGCTGCATCCACTCAAGGACTTCCGAATGCAATACTTGTTCAAAATACTACTGCATCTATCTATTTGAAAAACAATAGTAAACTATTGTAAAGAATATTTCATCATGTTATGCAATATGTGCGGCACTCTTTCAATCAGTACAACATCCATTCAAGGAACTTTGACAGGTAAGACTCTTTCAAGGTATTACTGCATCTATTGACGCATTCTATTACAAAGAAACAGCACATGCATTTACAATATGACCCCTAATTTCATCCCTGTGTCCGATACGGTTTCATTGGAGTACTGCATCCATTCAAGGACTTTCTTTGAAACTAAGACTTTTCCTAAATACGACTGCCTCTGTTGAAGCATTCTATTACAAAGCAATGTTACGTTCTCAAAGAAATACCGCACCATTCCCCAAAAGTGTAAGTTTCGCAGTTTATCAGTTATTGGTCTATCCGGAAAGGTTTGTGGCAAAAACAACGATTTTTGAGGGATGCCTCAATGCATGGGTACACAGTGACTCAAAAATAATCTTCAATCCAGCCTAGCAAGATTCAAGATTCGAGCTTCAAGGCTCAGAAAAAACTTCTTGAATCCAAATCCAACCTCTCTGAATTCAAGATTCAAGACTGAAGCCCCCTTGGATTCAAGAAGTTGTTTTTTTCTGGATCTTGAATCTTGAATCTTGAGTCCGAGGTAGTCTGGGAAGGGTGGGATGGCAACAAAGGGCCAAAAAATGCATTTTTTGACATCCAAAAAATGCTCTAAGTTTCGAAGTCAAACATATTCAAAAAAACACTGCAAATACCAGCTAATCTGCTAAAAAGGTAGGTCTTGGGGTACCATTAAAATATATATATATGATTATATATGTATAATACATATTGTGATGAACCCATATATATATATATATACATATAACATCGATGTACTAGCTGAAGGTCTGAGACTGACTTTTCTGATGTGTGTTGAAGGAGACTGCCACTCACACCAAGCCGTGTGCACTTATCTGAAAAGCAATATCAACCAATATTGTTAGATTCAAACGTGATTGTTCTGACACACTATGCACCAGGCGGTGATGCATAATTATCCATTACTATCACCTCACTATCCCTTACTAACCCATATTATTAGTTAATATGATTTATCAATATTTATCACCTAATCAACCCGGCCACTTCGTGCCCGAACGACAGGTGTGCCGCGTCGATTTTGATCAAGCCAAAGAGCGGCAAGTCCTTAGCCAATAAGCCAGGCAAGGATTCATCCTATGGAAAAACCTACTGCGAAACCATGGAATTCCAACAGTCTTGTGGGTCTTTTATATTGGATCTAAAGGATTTTAAAGGTGTATTCCTACTGGAGTCAGCTGAATGATTGGCCAAAGAAACAACCATCAAAACTAGGAACTGAAAGGGTGCAAAGTCGAATCAAATCTTAGACTAAGCTCGTTGCATTGAATACGGGTGTGTCCAAAACTAGGGCATAATATCACCAAAAAATGCAATGTTTCTTGGATTTGCTTAAGGAACCACACAAAAAAAAACGTATGAATTCCCAAACAACTGTAGATTTCCCATTGGGAAAACAAACATCATCTTCAGCAAATCCATGTTTATTTGGGAAGCTATTTGAATTTTAGGATTGGTCTGGTGGTAAAGCCATTGCCTTGACCTCCCGTTTGCTCACAACAAGAGTTCGGCATACCCCGAGGTCATCAAACATGGCAATTGGCAATGGAAAATCATCAAAAAACATGGGCGGGATATTTCCATTGCCATGTTTGACTAACGGAGTGAAATACCAGGGTTCTCCCATGCGCTGAAAATTCACCATCTTCGATCTACCATGAATTGAATGTTTATGGAGGCCGGCGACCTTTTTATCCCATCCCACTTCACCATGCTGATTTCAGCGGTACGGTACGTCACCGCAAAATGGTTACAACTTTTTCAGTGCCAAGTTGGCGACATGTTCTGCCTGCGATGATCAAACATGACCTGGACAAAAACTCCAAGGTTCACTGACGACCTTGGGCCCCCCACGGGCTTGAAGGTGACCTTCACCTAAGGTCAACGGATCCAACGGTGACCATACCACACTTAGAAACCTATGCTATCCCCCTGAAAATAAACATTTTGCGGGTTGGAAGACGACATTTTGAACGACATCCCGAATTCACATTTACCCTCTGGTAATTTAACAGTTTGCTATTGAAAATGAACCATTTATAGTGAGTTTCCCCATTAAACATGGTGATTTTCCATAGCTATGTTACTTTACCATAGGGTACATTTACTGACTCTCTGACTGTCTGTTGGGATGGCACTGAACCACTGGAGCCCGCACTGAACCTCGTTGGACCTCCGGCCTCGCAAAACAGATGCACCAGATTGGAAGAGGTTGGTGCACCAAATGATGAGTTTCTCTTCATTTTTTCTAGTCATCAAAGATCAACAAATTCTTGTAGCATCCAGGATATGGATCAAAAGCATAACTTCGAAATGTGGAGTCATTAGATAGAATATTAGATTACATGATTAATTAGATATATTAGAATATATTAGATTCGTTCCTCCATGGATCCAACGAACGTAGATAATCCATGATAATCCATGATAATCCCATACCAAGATTGACTATTTTGGATTAGTTTCTACTCATCTAAGATTGACCTAGTCCCATTCTGAATGTTCTTATCTTCGTTTATCTTCAAAAAAAAACAATGCCATTCCCATCTCAAAATTGCCAGATCTCTGGTTGCATCCCTATCCCTCAATCCAATACTTCCCCTGCGAGCTATGGCCCGAGTTATACCAGTTATTTTTGTATTACCCCATTTATGGAATGTACTGGAATTGCCAGTTATTTCTATAGTGAATACATGTGAATACCAGTTATATGTATAATCCCATAGAAATAACCAGTTCTTTCACCAGTTATAACTCACCATTTATTTCTAATTGGAATTTCGCCATATCTGCAGATACACACCAAAGGGGTATGATTCGTGGCCCCCGAACGGAAGAGGTGAGAGCTCGTGTGGAAATTGGATCGCCATGTTATCCTCCCAGCCTCGGTTGCTTCATGGCTCCATGGTCAGCAAACCTGGAATAACCTGGAATAACCCATGTCGAAGTACATCTGTTACAATGAAGCAGACCCTATTGGGAGTCATTCTTCGGGATTACCCATGTTTGGGATGATGTCATAAGACACCCGGAAAGAATAAATAAATGGATTGTCCCAATAACTGTATCATTCAAGCTCTGGGTTTGGGTTGGGGTACACAGCAATAGAATTGAGTAGAACTGCCTACTGCTAATCATCGTCAGCGTCTGTGACTCTTGAAACATCCTAAACCATTTTGCCCGGGACTCATGTGAGTCACATCTGGATGATGTGGCCAACATCTGGCCAACTTGGCCATAAATGCAATCCGACCTACCTTTGGAACCCCAAATCACCAACAAATCCTGGAGGGTGTGACCGCGTGACCCGACACATAGCATATATAAATTAAATATATTATATTTATATTATATTATATTCATATCATCATGTCCTCATGTATGAAACGCAACTAACACACAAACATAAAAAAAAAAAACAGAGGTAAGTTTCAGAAAAGGACGACCGACGCGTTGAGGCCACGCCGCGTTGGTAGAAGCGTTGTTGGGTCCCAGGGTCATCCACTGTGACCTGTGGGTGTAGAACCACAGATAACATGGGTTTGCATAATCTAAATAGCTGTAGCGTAAGTACATTGAAGCAAAAAAAAACGGGGGAATATGTAATTGAAACTCAACAACATGGATCTATAATGGGTACACATGGGTATGTTACTATTGCGTGGGGATACATGGATATAAGCCCCATCGGCAGACCCGAACCTCCGAGGCTCAAATGGAAATTGATTGTCCATATGCCTGGATCAATCTTAATAAACACGAAAATCTGAACGAAGCAATCCTTTACCTCGTGACGTCACGGTGGTGAGATCGTGAAAAAATCCACCCATTAACTAGTTCGATGTATCTAGCAAAACTGGTTGGTGGTTTTAACCATCTTGAAACATATTAGTCAGTTGGGATGATTACTCCCAATATATGGAAAAATAATCCATTCATGTTCCAAACCACCAACCTGTATCACTATTGGAGTTAAAGCAACAAACAGCAATTTCGTCCGTTACCCCAGCCCCCCGGCTTTGAAAAGTGGTAAATCAACTGCAAGAAAGGCCAAGTACAAGGTGGGTCCCGCTAGTTCTAAGTTGGTTTTTACAAATGAGGCTTTCCAAATATGTGGATACCCCAATAGCTGGATGGCTTACAATGGACAATCCCATCAAAATAGATGATTTGTGGGTACCCCCCATGACTTAAGGAAACCTCCATGTTTCGTAGTAATGACCCTCAACATCCCTTAACCCAAACGTTGACCAACTTAGCTATGGTAAACGGAGGACCCACCTCGATATGGGGCACCCCCGCCGCTCCTCGAAGGACGTGCTAAAGACGTTGGTGGCTTTGGCGCCAATGCCATTTCGCCTGCCCGTGAAGCGGATCTGACGTTCGGCGACGTTCGGGGCGACGTGTCACGTGAATTCACCGCAAGCGTGTCACGGGAGCTTGGGAGGAAGGGAATTTGATTGTGGGTCAGAAAGTGAGAACATGAATATGATATAATATGATACAAAATGTATAACATGTATAATATGTATGTGGATTTGATATTTGTTATACATATGTTATGTTATTAGCAATTCACAGCAGGGACAAATCTTGGATGTCCTGGGTAAACCCGGTGGCTTACCAGCACAAGGGGGAACCATATGTTGGTCAGAAAATGAGAATTCATGAGAATTCGGACAAGATCAATTTCAAGGACCCTAATTTAGGAAATCATCTGAAGGGGCAGTGAAAACCCACCGCCAAAGAATGGCAGTTTCAAACAGGACCATCATCACTTGTTGACGTTTCATTGCATGTTTTGGAAAGATGCCTGAGGCCACTATAGGCCACTATAGGCCACTCAAAGAGTTTCTAAAATTGGGGCTGACAAGAGATTCACCGAATCATGCTTGGAGGATCATCACGCATGATAGCTGCCTAGGTTCAATGGATTGGTTTAATGGAAAATCTACAGGAAACCATAGATTTTCCCATTAAATATGGGGTTTTCCTGTAAATTTTCCCTTAAACCAATCCATTGAGAGGTGCAATCCGTTGATACACTGGGTAAATTCACTTATGGGAATCACAAACCAGGGATATTTACCAAGTAGCCAATCGATTCCGGTGTCATGCGGATTCTCTCAGACTCGCTTAAAGGAAGTTTGTTTTTCTTCTAGTAGATCATCCTGCATCATCAGTACTAATGTGGTTGAGTCCTAGTCAAAATCCATATCCCATGCACTCCGTGACTAAGAATCAGAAAAACAAATCCAAAAGCATCCCCGAAAAAGGGGTTTCAGGCTCTGGCTTCACCAATGATTATGTGCCACGATCAAAACATGATATATGAGGGTATGGTCATCCCACTATCACTAGGGATTCCTTACAAGGAGTATATTAACCCTTGTACTGGGGGAATGACCATCCCTCAATATGGGTATGTGATGATACATGGTCCTTCCGATTCGAGTTGGTTATATCACATACCTGGTTGGTGGTATACCTACCCCTCTGAAAAATATGACTTCGTCAGTTGGGATGATGACATTCCCAATATATGGAAAATAATCCATTCATGTTCCAAACCACCAACCAGCAAATCATATTCCGATGAACATCCAATGAAACTTGGAACCCCGATGCTTCAGTGTATAGTTTAACTTTCACATCTTTAACCCATGGCCACCATGGCCCATTGCTGTTGCCTGGCCCCCATCCAAACACCAACCGGGCCCCGGTGTCGTTGAAGTTTTCACCGCTCATGAACTCACCAAAGACCATGCTGGGCACCTTGCGTTGGGCTGCAGTTCCCCTACAAAACCATGGTTTCTGGGGAAGTGTCTCCTGTTTAATATCAGGAGGAACATCCAAAAACACTGGGACAAACTGCACATGTCCAGGATCATGGCTTTCATCTTGCAACGCACAGCTTAGCAACCTGTGCGTTGAATGTTACAAGATCACCATCACCACCACCACAGCCACCACCACCACCACCAGCATCATCATCATCATCATCATCATCAGCATCAGCATCAGCATCAGCATCAACACGAACATCTACAGAAAAAAAAAATAGACATGTTTGGAGAAGGTACTTGACCCCTACATCATACCCCAGAAACTTCCTTCCAGAAGCTACGGCTGGATCGGGAAAAAATGTCTATCTGGTCTATCTGATTCAATTGTCACTGCATAGATCGTTGTGGGATGAAGAACAAAACTTTGATCCACCGCATTGAAACAGTCATTTCCCTACACAGCTGGGGAACAACTCCTGTATGACTCTGGGATCTTGTTTTGTTTTTCATCACTAAAAATCGGCATGGCAAAAGAGTTCATATGTAACTCGAACTTTGCCATGGTCATTCATGTTTCAAGATTGCTCATCGAAGGTTGTGATATGTTGTGATCACTTGCCGAAATGGAGGAACTGAGATTGATCCAACACATACCCTCTGGTAAACATACAAAAAACATCAAAAAACATGGCCCAGTCGAATTTTTTGCTTTACCCAGCTACATAGCATGGTGGATCTTTCCATAGTTGTGTAAACGTTTACCAGAGAGTATGTATATCAATATCAATCATCAATCATCATTTCTGGGTGTTATACAATCACCATCTCATGTCATATGACCTATATATCAATACTATGGTGATACTATGGTTTTCTAACATCAAACACCCGGGCCCAATAGCTCCATCCTGGGGCCCCCTTGCATAGAGTCCAGACCTCACATCAGTCGCTGTCTGACCAGCCATTTGAATATATGACCCTCTGGTAAATTAACATAGACCCATTGGTTTCCATTTAAACTAGGCTATTTTCAGGGTCTATGTTAATTTACCAAAGGGTACATAACGCCGAAATGAACAACAAGGAGAAAATCATGATGTGAGAAATTGGGTTCCCAATTTGAACCAAAATAGAAAGATCAACTATCATCAACTATCAAGTTGTCCAAACATAGGTATAATTCAAGTCCACTGATTAGAGTACAGTATATAATCATCATCACAATGTAAAAAAAGTTCTTTTGGGGTATTAGCCCATATTAACCCATATTAACCCATCATTAAGCCATATTAAACATCATTACATCTACAATTAATAGTAGACACCACATGTAGCCACCAAGACAGAAGAATTGGAAACCTGGAATGGGAACACATCATCCACAAGATCCACTTGAAATGTGTCTTTCCATCTTTTTGCGGGTACCCTCTGGTAATGACTAACATAATAGCTATTGAAAATGGCCATTTATAGTGAGTTTTCCCATTAAAAATGGTGATTTTCCATAGTTATGTTAGTTTACCAGAGGGTACCCTTATTGTAGATTCTCCAAATAGCCATATAGTGCTGCATATTATCCTGGTTGGTGGTATACCTACCCCTCTGAAAAATATGACTTCGTCAGTTGAGATGATGACATTCCCAATATATGGAAACATAATCCATTCATGTTCCAAACCACCAACCAGTATCTATGTTTGGTTTCTCCATATGGTCATTTTTTGGGGTACCCTATTTATATTCCATATAGCCATATTAGTGCTCCAAATACCATCTGAGCAGGTAAACCCCCAGAACCAACTCTTAATGCAGTCTTTTTAAAGCTGCGGGCGGAGAACGGGGGCGCAACAAACTAGAAGTGCCAATATGGTGGACAATGGTTGTTTGTGTAGTTTATTGGTCAAATAGTCAAAAGAAAAGGATTTGATCCATAAATTCGGCCTCGAACACTTCTTGTATCATAATTGATCATCGATAAATATAGATAATCAATGGTAATCATCAATTGGATTATAAACAATCACTCATGTGATTGGTTTACATCCCAATTTTGATTATCCTACAAATTGTAGTATATCACAATTAGGGGTATGTAAAATTCGGATATATGTAAATTGAGATATTACATGTTGATATCCCTACTACATGTATTTCAGTGTTTAATTAATATTTAATGGGGGTATCAAAGTTAATATCTCAATTTCCACATATCCCAGTTCTGTTAATGAGCATTATATAGATATCAACATATCCCAATTCCGTGTATATATATACATACACAAATTGTGATCATAGTTCTATATATATATTGTCTGAAAAGGAGTAATTCCAATTCTGATGGATTAGTCTAGTTTAGTACATATATATAACTATCTATAATTATCAATACACCATAGTGGCCATATACAAAGTATAATAAATATACCATGGCCATGGGGATAGTTATATATAGTGGCCATATATATATAACTATCTATAACTATTTTCAACTATCTATAACTATATCTACAACTAACTACAATTATCTATATCATTGAGAACATAACTATCTATAACTATTATATCTATCTACAACTATCTATTAAATATCTATATATATATAAGTAAACAAAATTGAGAACATAACTATCTACAACTATCTAGTATAATTGAGAACATAAATATCTACTATAGTTATCTACAACTATCTAGTATAACTATCTATTATATGTACATCCCCGGTAGAACATGGCCATTGTTGGCGATCAAGTGGCTGGTGGATCTCCACCGGGATGGCGCCGCCATCGTTCCAGACGCTGATCTCGCTGGTCTGGCGGACGAAAAGTTGGTCGTGGAAGATCGGCTTTAAAAACATAACTAGCTGGTGCCCCAGTTCGGAATCGCTAAGTTGGTGAATAATTCCAATCACTATGGTTTATGGTAGATATATTGACATACTTAGCTAGATATATAACTAGCTGGTGCACCATAACTAGGGTTGATTAGGGGGTTATATCTATAGTTAATGGGGATTGTAAAGCAACAAACATAACTATGGGGGCACCACCTTGTAGCTGGTGCCCCAGTGAGCTAAATCGCGTTCAGTTGGTGAATAATTCCAATTTCACTATGGTTTATGGATGTTTATAGTAGATATATTGACATACTTAGCTATGGAAAACTAACATAGCCGTGGAAAACCACCAGTTTTGGTGCCCCAGTGAGCTAAATCGCGTTCAGTTGGTGCACATAACTCCAATGACTCACGAACTGGTTTATGGTAGATATATTGACATACCATTCCTAGGGTTTATAAACCAAACTTATAGCTGGGGGGCACCACATTGTACCCATGGAATCAGCAGAGGTTTTTAAATGGACAATGCCCTGCAAATGTTCATTCATTAGTGTGAATATGGTTTATTACAGTGACACCTCGGGCACTCATGCCAACCATTGCCAACCCTTCCTGGATGCCCCATACACAATTTTCATACGGATGCATAGACAAACCACAAAAAGGGAGACTTTGGTGAAAACCAATCCCAAAATATACCCCTATGGTAAACTAACATAGCTATGGAAAATCACAATTTTTAATGGGTAAATCAACCATAAATGGTCCATTTTCAATAGCAATGTTAGTCATTACCAGAGGGTATGGTGAATGTGTCTCCTATCTGTTTGGGGTTGCTATACCTCGGTTCATGCTCAATACTATTCCCCAAAGATAAAATATGTTCAATGCTGTTCTCTTCCATTTCTTCCATTTTTTTGAACAAAAATGTAAATATTCTTATTGTTAGTGGATTTCCCATTGGGAAAATCAACAATCATCTCCAGTCTCCAAATCCAAGGAAATTGATATTATCATCCCATGACAATATCCGAGTATGTCCATTCATTACCCATAGGATCCATGTATGGTATATATGGTAACATTTACTATCAATATATCCCCAATGTTAGCATATATACCATACATGGATCCTATGGGTTATGGCATATTATTCCATGCGATTGGGTTGACCATATTACCTCTCCCTTGCGCTGCCGAAAAACAACAGCGATCGATTTTTCAGCACGCGCCGCTCGCGCCGCAACACTGGGGTCTGTCCCCCATGCGCACCGTTGACGTGCCGTTGCAAGTCCTCTGCGGTGACGAAACCGCGGCCACAAGCGCATGAGAAGGGATACCTGCAGCCACGAAGGCATGGCATACCTAGACCCTCCAAGTACCAATCAAAATGGATAAAAATTGTGTTGTACCACGTAATTGTAGTACTTTTACAATTTTTGGGAGGTACTTGGAGGGTCTAGGTATCCCAATACACCCAAATTATAATATCATTTTTTAGGAGTTACAACCTGCTTGCTAACCTCTGAGATAAATCTGGCGACATCTAACCAGAGTTTCACGCCCATGTCCTCAATGCATGGTGGTATATGTGCTTACATTTGGTAAAATTCCTTATGATAGAACATATCATGAAAATGGATGAAAATGGAACATCTGGAAACTCCCTGAAAACGAACAAGGGCAGAAGTCAGCCATTCTTCAGTAGTTGAACCAAATGGACACAGCACATATTTGGCTGAATGACTTCTGATATTTGGCTGTGACATGGATGCAACAACATGATGGCTGGACGGGGGGGGTTAGCCCCGTTTTTACTGGGTTGCTTTTGGGGTTGGGGGGGGTGGGGTGGGATGTCAACGTTCATGTTACGCTGATGATGTTACGCTGATCATCTGGGGTTGGGGTGGGGTGGGGTGGGATGTTAACGTTCATGTTACGCTGATGATGTTACGCTGATCATCTGGGGTTGGGGTGGGGTGGGGTGGGATGTTAACGTTCATGTTACGCTGATGATGTTACGCTGATCATCTGGGGTTGGGGTGGGGTGGGGTGGGATGTTAACGTTCATGTTACGCTGATGATGTTACGCTGATCATCTGGGGTTGGGGTGGGGTGGGGTGGGATGTTAACGTTCATGTTACGCTGATGATGTTACGCTGATCATCTGGGGTTGGGGAGGGGTGGGGTGGGATGTTAACGTTCATGTTACGCTGATGATGTTACGCTGATCATCTGGGGTTGGGGTGGGGTGGGGTGGGATGTTAACGTTCATGTTACGCTGATGATGTTACGCTGATCATCTGGGGTTGGGGTGGGGTGGGGTGGGATGTTAACGTTCATGTTACGCTGATGATGTTACGCTGATCATCTGGGGTTGGGGAGGGGTGGGGTGGGATGTTAACGTTCATGTTACGCTGATGATGTTACGCTGATCATCTGGGGTTGGGGAGGGGTGGGGTGGGATGTTAACGTTCATGTTACGCTGATGATGTTACGCTGATCATCTGGGGTTGGGGGGGGTTGCTACGCTCAGAAGGTCTTGGGGGCAGTGTGTGTGCACTTGCTTTCGATGTTGATGGTACGCGAAGAACGTATTTGGGGTTGGGGGGGTTGGGTCTGTGTTAACTGTATGATATATTTACTGTATTATATAATTATATATTTACTGAATAATATATACTTGTCAGGATGATTTGTTTATGTAAATTTCACCGGTCATGTCTGCCTGCTACCTGCGCTGCAGGTACGCATCTCAGATGTTGGGGCTGGGCTGCATTGGTGTGTCAGGGCTGGTTGGAGTTCTTGGTTGCGTGAGAGTTCGTCAAGTTTGCTTAGACATATAAGTTTCCAAAAGTAGTTCGTAGTTACATGGTTCAAACGCAAGAAAGGGTTTAACGCGAATATCATGGGAATGTCATGCTTGTCTAGCACAGCTTTGCTTGTGTAGCTCGCTGCTGGGCTCTGTTTCCATGGATCCGCTTCTGTATGGTGTTACATTGTTAATTCTCCTCCGCGCAGCTCATGAAAAGTTTCCACCTGTCTGTGTTCTTTGGTCCTTCTTGAGCACGGAAGAACTGTGGGATGTTCACTACATCTTAGCGTTGAAATGGCATGGGGATGCTGGAGCTGAGACCACCTTTGCTGCAGTGGAACGAGTGTATCATTGGACGAGCCTTCGCCAGGGTTTGTCGGTTCTCAAGGAAATTTGGTTTCGTTATGTGAAAGAACATAGGCCTCTGCCAGTGAAAGTTCTTCAACAAGGTGAATGGTTGCAGAAGCGGCTACGTGGAACAATGCCGCAGAGCTTTTCTGACTCAGAGTTGGCTGAACCTTGGGACTTTCAATGTGAAATGATGTTGCAAAATTTGCTGGAATCTGGGCAGCCCATTGAGCCGCTTTCGACTGCAGGACGCAGAACTCTTGAACATCCACCCTCCGTGATTCCTGTTTCTGAGTTCGGTTTTAGTTTTTTTCTTGACATCTTACTTTTCTTCCTTAGATGACCTCGTTATCATTTCTTGTCGGATGCCGAAATAGACGAAATAGACTTTGTACTGTCATGTTCGTGACGTTCAAACTGTTGTATCCTAGGTCTGTGAGAGCCCGGAGATTCGAAGAATGTTGGCTCCTACGTTGACTTTGGAATCGGAATCCGAAAGTCAAGATGCTGAAGGAGATGCATCGTCAGCTAAATCGGAAAGTTTGTCGCCACCGCGCTTCCAAGGTGGAAAGATTATCGATAGTCCTATAGCTTTGCGACAAAAACTCGATTATCTTTTGAAGCACTCTGTGAATGCCCCGCTTCTTGGTTTGTTTTTCGAATTGTTTTCCAAGGATTTGTACTGTCAATTCTTTCCCTGATGCATTCATTTGCATTTGAGAATGATGAATCTCAGGTTGCCCTCAGCTTCTGCTGCCGAGCTCACTCACTCATCTTCGGCTGCGTCTTCGTCTGGCGGCCCTATGTCGATGCTGCAGCGGGCTGCGCTCTTTGAGGACCGTGTCAAACCGGTCGCAGATGAAGATGGAGCGACCTCCCTGCCTGACACAAAATGGGGTAGATGCATGCGGGCAGACTGTGGATATGCTTTGTCGCCGCACCTTTATGCTTCTGGTCAATTTGCAGGACAGATTCGCTTGCTTTGCAATAGGTTCAAGAAAGTGCAAGATGGTAAAAGAATGTGTTTTTTTTCCGCTCCTGTTCCGAAAGACAAATGGTCGGAGCTGCCCAAGTTCATGAGAAACAAGTATGCAGAACTCCCTGCCAGTTTGCGCCGAAACACTGAGCGCGATGTGTGAAGAACTTTGTGCCAATCGGAAAAAGAGCTGCTGCTGCGGTTTGTTTGCTGAGAGATCTTTGCACCTGATGAAGAATGAAGCATGAAGTTTCCGCAGAATGAAATGGCCTGTCAATCGCGAATATCATGGGAATCAATTCAAACCACTTGGCCATGACTCTGATACCTTGACTGCAGACACACCTTGCACGTTTCTCCCAGTCGCCAGAATTTGGTTGGTGAAGTTGTGGGTGCCATGTGTTTCACTAGGTGTGAGGTTTTTTTGAGCAAGCCAGTGGCCATTTTCCACTCATGTCACGTCTTTTTTGCAAAGCCTTTTTAGGTCCGAGTTTCACACAGGGAACGTCCAATGAAAAAATCCCTCGGACATGATAGATATCCCTCTGGGCGCAAACGACCTCCGAGTCGCACCATCGCTACGAGTTCTGGTGTCAACAGAGAATTTCACAAGAAGGGTCTCAGCTATTCTCCCGGAATCCGTGGGAAATTCAAAAAGTACCGTGCTTTGCGAGGTCTCAAGCAGATTGACTTTGCATCCTTAGCCTTGTGGTCTGAAATGCGGTGCAAAAAATACCTGGAAGCCAAAGGTTTCTTCGGGGTGCAGTGGGGACGTCAGTGCTGGAGATGTCAAGCATCCTTGAACCAGCTTCAACAAGATCCTGCCTTACTGCGTTGTTCGAACCGTTCTTGTCCAGCACTGCGACCTCGCATCTTGGTATGGTTTCATTTTTTTGGATCCATCGCAAATGATATACGCATGTTCACCTAGTCTTCGACTTGTGCGTTTTTCAGTTGTGGCCGTTCTTGCCTGTAGGTATCAATTGGAAATTTGGCTACACACCCTTCATCAACCGACTGAGAGGTGGACATGAACCAGACATGCAAGGCTTCGTACGTACGGTTTATTGTGTCAGTGCTAAGATTCCTCAAGATGCAGCTGCGCACATTGTTGGGCGATCCCATGACTATGTCGATTCCATTTACAAGCAAGCTCGCATGGTGACAGGTTGGGCTGAGTTTCAGAAAAACAAATCCATGACCTTTGACGCCGGAATCCTGGAGGTAGATTCGTGTCGTACGGCAACCAGAAAAAACAAGGTGGGGTCAAAGAAACGAAAAAGGACAAAGAAGCCAGCCGGGAACACGGTTGCCAAGAAACCAACTTCCAAAGTGGCAGTGCATGGTGGTCGGTTTCTAGTGGCTGTCAGCAGAAAAAACAAACAAAGCGCTTTCTATCCTTTGCCTGACCGCTTCACGGCTACATCTGCTCCTGGCCCGCCAGAGACTTTAGACGAAGTTGTGCCGCTCTTGCAACACAAAGTGAACCCCAGCAAACACATCCTGGGCTCCGATGCCTCCAAAGGATTGAAGGGAGCTAGAAAAAAATTGAACTTGGAAGCAGTCACTGCTAGACATAGCTTGTCAGAATACACACCTGTACAGTCCCTCAAAAAGAGAAAGGTTTCCACAACAGCCTTGAAAGCCATTGGCTGCAAAGCAGCTCAAACTGGCCGGCATAAAGTAACCATGGTCGGAGGAGACCAGGTCGCAGAATCTCACACAGCTCTGCTGAAACAGCAGCTGAGACGAAACAATAAGCTTGGAGGCCTCTCATTGAAAACTGCACACGTGGATGGTTTGTCAGCACTTTACATTCACAAGAACTTAGGCCTGGAAGCGACTATGATGGCGTTCGCTCAATTCATTGCCCACATGACTGACAAAGTCAGTCATGTGAAATGTTTTGAAGATGTCTCGTGGATGGAAGACAAGTGAAAAAAAGGGCTCAACATGCAAATGTGTCGCCGCAACAAACCCCTGTAAAAGTCAATGACACAACATAACCGAAAATTGTCATTTCGCCACGGCGAAACACTCCTTTTTGATCATGTGACTTTGCCTTTGACACATCAATGAAAAAAAGAGCTCAAAATGCAAATGTATCGCGGCAACAAACCCCTGTAAGGGTTGCTCCCAACATCCATTTTTTTGAAAAAATGAAAGTTATGTTGACACTGCTAAGCAGAACTCAAGTCAATGACACATCATAAGCATGTTTGAAAACTGCCATTTCGCCACAGCGAAACACTAATTTTTGATGATATGCACTTTGCCTTTGACAGACAGACGAACCAAAACAATTGGAAGCGGGGCTAACCCCTCCCGTCAACCCAACATGATGTAGCCAGCCTGAAATCCTGCGCAGTGGTGGCACACAATTTCCCCAAACTTTGGAATTTCACTGCATTTATTTGTCAATATGGTTTTCAATCCTAATGGAACTCTGTCAAAACTGGTCAAGCTGGGTTGTGACCCTCCAGAGTGATCGAAAACCCAAGAACATATAATCCCTTGCTCCGAATTCTTGAGTATGCCCCTACAACTAGGAACTCTGATTTGGTTTTGAACCTTCTCATTTATAGAATCTACTCAAACTTATAGGGCCGATATTGGGATACGCATTAAACAACATACATACAGATCCCAAATAGATGACCACGGAAAAACATCAGGGATTCAGCTACAGTTTTCTTTTCTGACGATTGAACGATTGAGTCATCGAGTCATTGAGTCATGTTTGGGATTTCTTTGCCGATCTATATCATGAGGTTATTGGGTACGGAAGACAAACACCACGTAAATTTGACCCTTGCTCAACAATCAACCTATAAAAACGTCACACTCCCCATTATATCCTCCCAGCAAGACGAAAACCAACAAACAAATACAACACATAGAATCAAAAAAACCATCAAACATCAAAAGCACCCCAAAAAACGGCAACAAAAATCATGAATTTTCCCAAAAAGGCACTTGCACCTCATGGGCGCTTGATGTTTCAACAATGCCTTGTAACTTCCGAATTTCCGTTGGCAGCGAAAGCAGCGCGCCGCCGTCCCCGCCAGCGTTGGCAGCGCCAGGAAATTCTCCGCCGACGGCGAGACCGAGGCGTCATGCCGTGGAACGTCGCCGAGGACGTCGCGGAGGGTGGCGCCGGCGGAGAGATCTGCGTGGGTCTGGCGCAAGGCACTGCGAATTTCCTGGATGACTTGGGATGGTATGGGCTATGTCTGAATCTGAGAGTTAATATTATATTTAATTCATTCATATATAATTATTACAAGGTTATGGTTATTGTTTAACATATGTTTTTTTTTGATTTTTTTAAAGTTATGAATGGATAAAATTGGGGTATATAAATGTATATAATAATTATATACCGCGCTGCATGCTTGAAGGATTTAAGGATCAAAACAAAACAATGACATAAAGTCTGCGTCTTGACGGAAATTCGTGATACCTACAAATACAAATACTGACACCATACGGGAGAATATACTTTGAATCATTCTACATCTGGAGTCTTCACTAAAGTTCAAGTGTCCCAGCAAACCTCAAACATGAGTGAACAAAGTTGTAAATGATTGATTTGCATCAAACTTCTGCATAGCCACACCCTGCATGGATCCTTTGCTTGGTCTAACAATGCAGGCTCCATGGCCCACATCCCAGTTGCTAAGCAAACAGTGCTCTTGCGTTTTCAAGACCGGTGAGTTAACCAACTGGGAACTGCGTATTCTTGGGGCAATTATCTAGCGCGGATCGAGCGCGGATCCGCCAGAACTCTCTTTAGCCTAGCCATTAAAGCTTGAAAAGCAGTCGCTTTCACATATCTTCCCAAGTCACGTTTGTGATGCTGGCCAAAAAGAAGGTGAAGCGGCAATGCAGCTCAAGGAGATTTATTCAAAGTAAGGCTACCATGGAGCTGTTCAAGCAGGACCGGGCACAACAGGTGCAAGAAAGCAAGAGGGAAAGAATGCATCGCGCCTGACTATGCTTCACTTGAATGGCTATGTAAAAGTATCTTGCGCCACACTAGCGCAAATCTAGCGCTAAGCTGCAGGAAAGCAATTTCACTGCATCAAATGAAATCTAAAATACGTCTCTGCCCAAGTATTTAAGTCCTTCGGATTTTGAAGTTCCTGATAGGCCTTTTGGAGCGGATCTCATTTGGCTCCTGCCAAAGAGTGAACTTTCTTGATACATAATAGCAGGGGCCAGCAAACCCGGCTTAGAAATTTGAATAGAATGTATAATATTCATGGCAATAGTCATACTGTTATATATCTATAGTTGTTTATAGTGACGGACATGTACTTAGAACAGCAATTTTTTCCAAAATTTCGAAACCTCCTCTTAGAACATCAAAATTACCATACTTAGAACATCAGAAATGTTTCTAAGTACGCACTTAGAACATCAGAAAAACAGATACTTAGAACATATCCATTGATTTTTGCATACTTAGAACATTAAAACACACATATATACTTAGAACATGTCCTGTTACTTTGGTAAATCTGCATATATACACAAATACCTTGGTGAACACCATACTTAGAACACTTTCTCCCCTCCCTGCTGCAGCATTCTATACCTTTTCTTCGGGAACAATATCCCAAGCGGTCTTCGCTGCAATGGGAAGGTCTCTAGTAATTTGTGGGTTTCCTACAGGGGGTAGTCAAAAAGCATAGGAAATGTTCTAAGTATAGCTTGGAAATGTTCTAAGTATAGGTTTTGGGTATGTTCTAACTACTTTTTTTGAAACCCATACTTAGAACATCCCCGCTGTGACGATTTTCAGATTTTTTTTCCAAATGATGTTCTAAGTAGTTGTCCGTCACTATACTGTTGTTTATGTTTTGATAATGTTGGGGACATCACTACAGTCTCTGAAAACAAACCATCAATACATGGTAAATGGTGCCAGGGGTTTGAGAAAAGCAATCATGCGAAATCAGCCCACACAATTACTAATCTGATCAAGCAATCGAATGGATAGTAGTATCTGGGTAAATTATAATAATTCACTAACCTGAATAGTTCGGCCATTTTGGGATGATTCCCTTATAAAAACCATGATTTCCAGGCTTCGGGAGAACGACGTGAGGTCGTGATGAAATTTACCCAGTTGACATGTCCTTTTTCTGAAGATTCCAAAAAGTTTGGATCAGCAGATTGACTGGTCACCATCCCTAGAAGTTCCATGGCACAGCATGTTGGGTAGGTAAATTCCCACTTAGATAGCTACAACCCCCCCATGTTTGAAATTTAAGGTGTCCCCCTATAGGTATAACATGGTATAACCAAACTCTTTACCCATGCCATGGCTGCCATCTCCAAGGTTCCAAGGCGGTTGCCTCCGTCAAGGCGAAATTGAGATTGCGTTGAACCTCGATGGGGTCTTCGATGTTCAGAAAGGGTGGCGTGTCTTCGCTGATCCTCTTTCCTTCCGTGCCGCACGCTACGGCGAGGCCGGAAGGGGAAGAAACAGGCGAGGATCTATGTGATCTATCTTTACATTGGGAGTGTTACCGTATATGATTTTTCTACTTCTGGCAGCCTGTCACATTCTTGTGGGTGGCTTGGAGAATTTAGGCATGATGATATCTGGATATTCATACAATTGAATATGTGATATAGTAGACGATACAATATAGTTGGTAAATAAATTAAACGCGTGTCTATGATGATGCTTGAACCTTTCAGTGTCTGGCGAATCTCACACACCAAAATTTTAATCCAGGTGTTTTCCCCAAGTACCAAAGAAAAGTTGGCCAAATCTTCAAAAAACATGGGTACATTATGGGTACGTTAACGTTAGTTCACCCATCTTCCTATAGGTATCTTGGGTCAAACATCGTCAAACCTTCGACACGGTGTTCCACGTTCTCCCGCGTCCTTTCTTAATGTGCACCGAGCGAAAGAGCTTGGGATGAAACTCCGCCGCTGTCGCTGCTCTCACGGCACCCAAGCGTACCGAGACCACGTCCTCCTCGAAGCGGAACTCCTCGGAGTAGTAGCGGAAGAAGCCGCGGAAGAGGTCTCCTCTGGGGAGATCTGGGCTGATGAAATGCCAATTGTAGGGAAAATCGTATTTGAGCATGATGTAACCAGTAGAACTGGTGTTTAATATGGGTTTCACCATCCAAAATGGTCGCTACTCTCAAAACTACTGGTGAAGTCGCATCTTTTTTGATCAGTTGGGAGTCACAAGCACGAGAAGTTGAAACCATGGATGGTATATCTTTGTAAGATCATTGGCTACTTTTTGGATATGAAGCTTTCCAACAAGTCATGGGGGTACCCCAATGATCATCCATTTTTGGTTGGATTTCCCCTTATAAACCGTCCATTTTTGGGTGATCCCCCATTCATGGAAACCCCCATATGGGTATGTTTGAGTTCCATGTTAAAGTTTGCAGGTCCGACCAACATTTCACCAGTTGGGTGAATGTTGACGATATTTTATACGGGGACAGATGATCCGTGGGTTTGTCCACAAAAACATCAAATGTTGGGTCAAACACCCTGTTGGTTGATTGCTGTATATTCATAGGGTCCTTTTGCGGCTATAGTGGTGCATTCTAGGGCTATTCGATCATGGGTTTATACCCCATTTAATAGGGGGATAAATGTTATGGAAGGAAATAAAACAGTGGAAAATCACCATTTTTTCAAGGAAAATCCAGTAAACATGGCCATGTTCAATAGCTATGTTGAATTACCAGTGGGTTACATGGCAAATTAGAATCATTGACCACATAAATTTCATGATCTCAGGCCTCAGGCGACCCGGGCAAACCAACCCCCTTTTCGCCCCGCATCACACGATGGGGAGGTAACCAACAATCTGGATGACACCATAAAGAAATAATGTATTGGATGATATTGGGACATACCATCCATATATATATATTTATATATATATATAAGTTGTAGGGAAATATATGCCATATATATATATCATCCAAATATTGGAAATCCCACTAAATTAGCTATATTATGACTATGATTTCCCTCTACCCAATCCATGTGACAACTCACATGTGGTCCTTTTACCCTTTCGATGGCCAACCTTCCTACCTTACAAACCGTTTGAGACGGCTCCCTAAGCTCCTCGGATAGACCATGGTCCCACTTGCTCAAAACTCACAGCATGATAAAAACCCACTGGTTTTCCCAACATCATGAATGCACAGTTTCTCAAGTTCTAAACATGTTTTTTTTGAAAACAACAACAACAAGAAGAACAAGAAGAGCAACAACAAGAACAAGAGCAAGAAGCACAACACAATTAAATAACATATCAAAAAAACTCGGCCCCACCTACAATGTGGGCCGACCCAGCTATAAGTTGGTCCATTCAAGTGTAGATATATCTACCACAAATCCTTAGTCTTTGTAGTTACAAACAATTTTTGGTATTTTGGGGTCCTCATACTGGCCTCTCCGTCAAGTTGTCCCAGCTAAAAGTGTGTTCCCAAGCGATTTAGATTGCCACTTGCAGCTAAATGATCCACTTCTATGTCCAAACCACATGTCATCACATCATCACCTGTCCCACTATTTCAACTGCCACGTTAGCATAACCGGCATAACCTTCACAATAAACATCAATTAATAAACCCGTGTTTGGTTGACCAACTCAGCACCTGATCTCACCTGTCCCAACAATTTCTCTTATGTATGTATATATATATACCTATATACATATTGTATACATATATCCCATGTGTATAATTATATATATATATCCCTTTGTTTTGATGATTTAACCCCCTATTAAATCACTATAATCATCAGCCAACCTGTCCCAAGTAATGTCTCCTACGTCTTCCTCTCGCACTCTGCCGGCATCGCCACCTTCTGCGAAGTCCAAGGCGTAGACCGTGCGCCGCGGCAGCGGCGCCGGCTGCCGCCGGAGCAGCTGGTGGAGAGACGGCAGGCCGTGCTTCACCTGGAGGAAGAAGATCATCAGCAGCGTCCAACCTTGAGATTGGCATTTTAAATCCTTTAACCCATAGGATCCATGTATGGTATATATGCTAACATTGGGTATATTGATGGTAAATGTTACCATATATAGCATACATGGATCCTATGGATAAGTGATACAGTTATGGCCAGAAATACCAGTTAAGTTAGACGTACATTCAAAGATCCATTCATGGAATATAGAATCCCATAGAAATAACCAGTTATAAACAGTTGGAATGAAAGATCTAGAAATGGAGGTTTCCATAGTCATGGGGGTACCCCAATAGCTGGATGCATCATGGAAAATCCATCTATAAATGGATGAGAACTAGGGGTACCACTCTGACTTAGGAAACCTGCAAATGGTTACCATAAGATTGTAAATGGATATGGGTGTAACATGCTGTACTAGTTACTAGATTAAACCTGCTTGGACCTGGGGATGGTCATGTTAACTGCATAAAGAGGATCTGATAACAAGGTTTAAACATTTTAAACGTTTAATTCACAAGGTTTAACAAGGTTGTATAATGTTGTATACAGGGTCCAACCAAAGGTTTACACATGGCGAAAAAATGAACATAAAATTAGCAGGTGTCATCAGCATTAGATTTCATGCAGGATTCCCCCCAAAAAAACAGTTTTCCTGGGGAATATGATGATTAAAGCACTGGAGAGAACCGGGGAAAGATATGGTAAAACCCATGGCGAACGGCAAACATTAATGGGGAACATTCATGATGGAGTATAAAGAGATCAGCCACCAGCATTGTCAACAAAACATATACAAAAAGAAAGCTAAGAAAGAACAGAGAAAACAACACTGATAACAACAATCCACATGCTCACATGATCCGCGTATTGGATATCTGTGTGCTGAAAAAATGAGCAAATATGAGCAACAAAACAATGTTGGTTTATAAATACTATTTATTGAATGTTTGTTTGAAAGAAATCACACACATATGGAAACATGGGAACATGATCAAACATGGGGATATATATATATACATAAGGGAAAGTTTAGCAAATGGCTGGAGAATATGCACATACTGTATGGTAAACTTTACCTATAGGATAGGAGGACAGTTGGATTATTGACCACAAGCATTCCAAACAGTTCAGGGTCCAACCTCAGGTACTTAAAGACAATATGAAACATGGGGAACATGGGCAATCAATATACAAATGGGGACAGTCAGCTAACATGTATTTTCAAACATAAGCGTCCAACCTGAGATGCTTGGTGTATGGTTAAAAATATGGGACCATTGACGAACTAATCGGAAAAGTAGTTGATTGACGTTGTCGTTGTTCCATTAATAGAGCATGCGGATGCATTGTGATAAATCAACTTATGCCAAATATTTGGATATAATCATGCATATATGTAATGAATTATAATGATATATTTGGTCATGTTTGTCTTGTTCTCCCGACTATCAGTTCATTTGTTTTAAGGAAATCTTACACGAAACCTCCATATGTCATAGGAAAATCAATGGTTTCCTGTCAATTTCCCCTTAAACTCAACAAATCTATTGAGACTGGAGTAATAATTTACAGGAACTTGCTATGACTTGGTGCCAAGTCAAATCCGATACCCAGCTACAGAATCGACATTCGGAACTACCCGATAGATGGTGTGTAATGTGTCATAATTAGTTACCGAGATAGCTAGTTTGGTTTGAATCTATTATTCGATATAGTTACTATAGTTCTAATATCTATATGTCAAATAATCATCGACACAACCCAATGCCCAACTCTTATTGCTTCTTCAAACTATCCATATCTATAATGATATATGAACCTAATATATAGTGTGTATAGACATATGTATGCGTATATATATATATATTAATGCATATACAAGATTATACAAGTAATATCACCATCTTCAACAGACACATCTATCTGGTTGGTGGTTTCAACCCCTCTGAAAAATATGAAAGTCAGTTGAGATGATTATTCCCAATATTTGGAAAAATAGAAAATGTTCCAAACCACCAACCAGTGATACAGTTATGGCTCGAAATACCAGTTTCACGCACCCTCTGGTAAACAAACAGTTTGCTATTGAAAATGGCCATTGAAATAGTGGATATACCATGATATAGACACCCAAATGGCTACTTTTTATGGTGAACAACATAGCTATTGAAAATGGCCATTGAAATAGTGGATATAGCCATCAAAAATGGTTAGTTTACCAGAGGGTATCATTAAATATGACTTCGTCGGTTGAGATGATGACATTCCCAATAGATGGAAACATAATCCATTCATGTTCCAAACCACCAACCAGTCTATCATTCATAAACCATAAATCATTGAATTCAGCCACTTATAAACCAACTGAACGCTATCTTGGGGGCCCCATCCCAGGTACGAGTATCATTGATAGTGGATATAACATTATATATACCCATTAATAGCATGGTTAGTTTACCAGAGGGTATCGAATCATTCACCCATATTTTCCCATATTTTCCCAGGGAGTCAGTTGAGATAAACCACTTATAAACCATTGTTGAACCACTTATAAACCATAAACCAGAGGGTATCATTCACCCATTGAAACCCATCATTTTCCATGATATATATACCATGATATACCATGATATACCCAATAAAAATGATTAGTTTACCAGAGGGTATCATATTTTCCCATCATTTTCCCAGGGCACTGTAGGACGAGATGTAGTGCTCCCAGGTCTTGGCCAATCGTCGCCGCTTGGCCCAGCGCTTCAGCGCCAGGACCAGCGTCGCCAGGGACGGCAGCAGCGCCGCGTAGCGGCGTAGCAGCTGCGTGTTGTAACACGGCAGCAGGTGGAAGGCCGAAACGTCGCCTGCAAATCCCCAGGGAAAAGCGTTAAAAGGAAACCATGGGGGATTTCACTTGAAAAATATGGGGTATTTTTTATAGATCAATTTTACCAAGAACAATTGTGATCTCACCAGGATATGGGAGGTTTCCTCACATGGTACCCCCAAAGCATCCATTTCTTTAAAGGATTGTTGATAACCGATCCAACTATTGGGGTACCTCCATTTCTGGAAACCACCCATTTCTGGAAATGTTTCAATTTTACCCTCTGGTAAACTAACATAGCTATGGAAAATCACTGGTTTTAATGGGTAAATCCACTAAAAATGTGGTATTTTCAATAGCTATGTTAAATTACAGGAGGGCACCAGGAAAATGAGGATTTCATGAGGAAAATGAGGATTTCATGAGGATTTCATGGTTTTGTGGTGGAACGTGGGGGAAACCAAAACCCAGAAAGGACCCATCACTAGTTGGTTTATATACATCTTTACCCCTTCACTTTTTTCGTAGTTGAGGATTTCTAAGTCATGGTGGTACCCCTAAATCGTCAATTTTCATGGGATTTTCATGGATTTTCCATGAAATAAACCATCCAGCTATTGGTGGTACCCCTAATTCCTATGGAAACCAGCATGGTCCAGCCATGTTCAGCCAATGGCAAGTCTTCAACTCATGTCAAGTTGGTTATCTGTTAAATCCATTAATATATATATATATATTATATATATATAATTCCATTTATGAGTTGAATATTCCATTTATCTCCATTTATATCCATTTAAATAGGTAAACCATCTATAAATGGACCATGTTCCATGGCTATGTTAGATAACCAGAAGGTAAATCTCCCATTTATATCCCATTAACGTTGTCCAACATTGTATCCCATTGACTCTCATTACCGGAGGTCAATGCGGGGATTTTCGATGTGAAATTTCGACGATGGAATTGAAAAAAAAACATGCGGAAAACAACTTGTTTCTTAGAGAAAAACAAAGGTTTTTGACCAAGAACCGTCAATTTTATAGGTGTTGGGTTCTCTAGGAATTAATAACTTATTATAATATAAGCACTGTTCGGCAGCTAATCACTGTTAATTACCCTAGGATAAACTAACGTAGATGTGGAAAATCAACCATTTGTGGATTATTTTCCTATAGAAACCATAGGTTTTCCACATCACGTTGATTTACCCTAATAACAATTACAAGTGATAAACTATCAACGCTTGTTAATGATTATTGACTGTTAAATTACATGAATAACCACTAAGATTAATGGTTCACATCCCCCTAATATTAAACACCCCCATTGTATGGTCCCAATTATGTGGAAATTCCCTAACCATGGTTTCGTTTGGGAAGGGATTAATCACCATCAATTATCCCAAAAAAAAAATGGCACAACCAAGGCACACGTGATGCCATCGGTGACGTTCTCATCCTCCACGAAACCCACCACCAGAAGCGGCACATTGGCCGCGAAACGCTGCTCGAGCACCGTCAGCCCGCAGGACGGCGCGGCGGCGGCCAGACGCTTCACGACTTCCTGGGGGTGGACATGGAACCATGGCTTGAAAATCACCAATTGATACATCTACTGGTTGGTGGTTTTAACATGTTTTAACCATCTTGAAAAATATGAAAGTCAGTGGGAAGGATTATCCCATATAGGAAAATAAAAAATGATTGAAACCACCAACCAGTCTATAAATCATGTGAACTATAGTAACTGTCGTATTATGATTGAATTGAGGGAAATCATGCACTTTGAGGCGTGCATAATATTGCATATAGAGTATAGAATCTAGAGGCAATTATATATAGTACATACATCATTTTGAGCACTTCCACTAAGCACTACGGAAATCCTTGGGGTTGATTGCTTTCTATTTTTTTCTGATAGTTTTTGTTGGGTTATCGCTATTGTATAATCATTCTAGGTGTTTAACAGTTTAACTCATCGTGGACATCCAAGGATATCATTGAAATTGGGAACTGATTAACCCCCCGGTAGGGAAATTCGTATTTGGCTTGGGGGTAATCCAGAAAACATGCTGATATCATGATTCTGATGCTAATATCAACCATTTAGGGGGCTGCAGACAAAACATTTGAATCATTAGAACATTAGAACAAAAAGGATTGTTTTGTCTGACAATGAGGTACCCCAAATTCATAAATTCAATTTGGGTTTGTCATCGTTCGTCCACATGGCAATTTGGGGGTATACGAGGGGGCCTTACGGGTACCCGCATCCATTGAAAGCCTAGATTCGTTGTCAGAACATGTTGTCAACCAAACTTTTGGGGGGAGACATTCCCCGCAGCACTTTCGATCTGATATAAACCCCAAAAATGAGTCAGACTGGTACAGGTTTGCTCGCTCAAGCAATACATCTTGCTGCTTCAAAAAACAACTCTTGTTGGATGAATCAAACAAACGACATCCTTATCTCTGTCCGACAAAACCATACGAAACCCCAGTTTTGTGGAGAATTCTGAAGGAAACAATCATAATGAATGAAGTTTGTCAACTTCATCATTTTTGTCTTATTTCCAAAAAACCAAATCTGCAATTCATACCAATCAACTCCAATCAACCAAGGGTTTCCCAAATTTCTCCCGTTTTTCCCAACCCTTCCCACCTTTTCATCCCCCCTTCACCGTTCAGCGTCCGAGGGCGGCACCTGGCGGCCCTCCGGCGGCTCGCCCCACAGCGCCGCGTCCACGTCGCTGTGGCGCTCGCCGCAGCCGTTGACCGAGCTGCCGAAGGGCACCACGCGGAGGTTGCGCAGCGGCTCACGAAGCTGGGCAACGCCTGGCTTCGGAATGGGGAAAAAAAATCCGTGGAACACTGCAATTGTGGGGCCCCCAAACGATACCCTCTGGTAATTTAACGTAACTATTGAAAATGACTATTAATAGTGGATTTTCCCAATAAAAATGGTGATTTTCAATAGCTATGTTAAATTACCAGAGGGTAGCTAAGTTGATGAATAACTCCAATAACGGTTTATGGTAGATATAACGAACTAGTTAATGGGTTTAATTTGAACCAACTTATAACTGGGGGGCACCATCTTGTGGGATAAATGGGATATCACTGGTGTTTTATATAAATGAGAATGGGGAAAAATATGGAGATTTGTTTTTTCGGATATCAATGGCATAACACTGGAAATGGGATATAAAGATAAATGTTGTAATACAATGAGATATCACTGGGATATCAATGGTGTAATATATAAATGAGGGAATTTGTGATGGGATATCGGATAATATGGGAAGTTGTAATGGGGATATTATGGGATAGTGGTGTAATACAATGGTATATTCAATTATATATATATCTTATATTTGAATAACCAGATTATAATAGCAAATATTAGGAGGTAAAGCAGCATAGCTAAGTAAGGGAATCAGACTCAAGGTTGACCGGGTTGACCAAAAGGACATCAACACATTTGGGAAGGTCAAATCGCTTAAATATACCTCAAGTGGGTTAACTTGGTGAATTCCAGGATTTATGGTAGATATCGGGATATGGAATGATATGGATACTATAGTTAATGGGGTAAAACTACACCAATTAAAAAAACTGGGGGGGGCCCACTCTGTATGGAATATTTACCTACGTAGTATATGGTAGCCCATATATCTATGATATATTTACCTACAAGATGTTACATGATGTTACATGTACGGAATATTGAATATTGGATGGGGTTGATCAATCAATCCCACATGCTCCCACCCATGGGTTTCTATCTCTGCATGTAAGAAGCAAATATAGGTGGTTGAGGTTGCTAGAGTGTCCCAAGAAGTAGTGATTTGTGGATTTGTTGGCTGTATTTTTGGATTTATAATGATTTATAGCCCTCACGACTTGTAACCGGGAGATATTATGAGATATTGGGATATACCGTAGTTTTCATCACTTCGCGACTTGGCAACATCTCAATAGGATTTTTTTGACTTTCATCAGCACGGCATCTCATTCCCTCTCGATTGGCAGAGGGTCCATGATGAAGATTGAATAAGAGGAAGATGATATCAATCCATGAAGATTGGCAGAGGTTCCTCTTATTCATAATCTATTGTACCATCTATGATTAAAGTGGTAGACAAAATAATAAGGGGAACCATCTACGGTACCATCATGATTGTGTATCTCCTTATTCAACCTCTTGAATTGATAATGGTAGAATCGTGGGAACACAATCATGATGGTTTCCATGATTCTGCTCTCGTCAATCAATGTTCGGCATCTTGCACGCCCAACCCCAAACAGGCTAGAAACAAATCCCTTGACATATGGTCCAATAACCCTTTCTTAAAGTGTTTCAAAGTTATCCCATAGTTCAAGAGATATCCATAAACTTTCTCCCAAAGTTGTCCAACAAAACATCCGTAGGTAAATATGTTATATAACATCCATAAATATTCTAGAACAAAAAATATTTACGGAAGGTTATTGAACGAAACATGGATGATATCCCAAAGTTATTCAACGAAACATCCATATGGAGGTTTCCTAAAATGTGGGTACCCCCAAATCATCCCAGTCATTAGACCACTTTCTAGTATTGAAACCCATGTTTTTGGGGTACCCCACATTTTAGGAATCCCCCATATCTACATATATATATAATATACAATCATTATAATTTAATGTTTTCCTCAGCTAAAGGATGGTATCCCTAAATATCCAGCAAAACATGCATAAAAATCCCTGGCAATGGGCTCCTTGCGCAGCAGCTGCGTGTAGGCGTCGCAGTAGCTCCTCTTTGCGAGCGCGGTCTTCGGCAGTTGGCAGCAAGGGCCTCGCGTTTTTGGTGGGAAGATACATGGCTGGTGAACTAAACCCATGAAGAATAGCTTTAATTATGTTTAATGATTTTAATATACAGTAATTACTATATATATATATGGGCAAATTATAATATGTTGTTTAACCTGAATTAAGATGAATTACGGCCATTTGGGGATGATTCCCCTTTTTTCCCCCAGGATTCCCAGGGTTCGGTCGTAGTGAGGTGGTTATCATCATCTCATCATCCCACAGATCCCACATGCGTCGTGCGTAAGATCTTTTTTGGTGGTGCCCCATAGCTGGGTTTAGAAAAATAGGCTCAGTAAGTTAGCTGGTAATTCGTATAGCATGCATCATACTACTATGTTTACTGTTTTGGTTGGGAAAATGAAGATTGCCATCAATATATTGGCGATGTTAATCTATGTCAATAGAAAATTCGGATGAACCAGTGGAGTTGGGAGAAAAAAGGGTGAACACTGAACACATATTCATCACTATATCTTAGCTGGTTGGTGGTGCCACCAAACCATCTTGAAAAATATAGGTCGTCAATGGGTTTCGGATGACATCCCATGTATTATTAGTCAGTTGGGGTTGCTATTCCCAATATATGGTTACTATTAGTCAATGGGAAGGATGACATCCCATATATGAAATGGACAATAACATTCATGTTCCAAACCACCAACCGGGATTGGATGTGACCTTTCTGCATCGCTGTTGCTCTTTTTGGGAACTGGTATCAACTGATCAACATGTTGATCGGAACACATTGGCGGATTTTTACCAAAGCATAGGTACCCTCTGGTAATTTAACATAGCTATGGAAAATCACCATGTTTAATGGGAAAATCCACTATAAATGGCCATTTCCAATAGCTAAATTTCCAGCCATGTCCAAGAACTGAGCAAGCAATTCATGTCTGCTGGAATTGCACAGTTCTTGGGACATGTTGGATTCTTTCTGAATGGATTCAGCAATGTCCTAGGTCTATAGCCACCAAACATACAGTTTCTTAATAGTAACTGTACGAGTACTAGCCCTGTATCACCAGATTCACCAGGCATAAGAGTATAAGATCGTCGGATGGCTGAGTTAAAGATTTGACATCTGTGGACAAACCAAGGGGAACAGTTTTGCTTCACAATTACAACTGATGGTCTCATCATACGGACCCATCCCAATACAGAAAGTATGAATTATAACTATGATAACTCTCTAGTTATGTCAAAATAGCTATTGAAAATGGCCCATCCAACTAGTTGATTTACCTATTAAAGATTGAGATTTGTCCATAGCTATGTTAGTTTACCAGAGGGTAATCTTGGAGACCCTACAAAAGAAACACCAAAAAAAGTAAAAAAAAACACCCATGTCTATGATGGTTCAGTCTCGCTCCATTCCCAAGTGAGGGCTGTATCCCTCTGGGGGTTTTCAACCCAATTTTACACCAAGAACTTGGATATGATGTGGTACCTTGGGGTACCATGTCATTGGAATCCAGCTGGGGAATTTGCAATTCACCCAGCTTTCACCTGGCTGAACCTTTGATGCTCACATATACCCTCTGGTAAACAAACATAGCTATTGAAAATGGCCATTTATAGTTGATTTACCCATTAAACATGGTGATTTTCCATTGTTATCTTAGTTTACCAGAGGGTATATGTATGTATATTTGCAAATTTCATCCAATATCATCCGGTTCTATGGTGGTTCAGCCCGGGCCCCATCCCATTTCCTGAAACAAATCATGTTCTACCCCAAACTTAGGATTTAAATATTCAACTGGAATCTACTAAAGATGTTCATAGATCCACGTAACATCAAGATATTTCACCTGAAATAAGGTTTCTTTCTGGGATAGTGACCCCCTACTACTGACTACTGACTACTGACTACTGACTACTGACTACTGACTACTGACTACTGACTACTGACTACTGACTACTGACTACTGACTACTGACTACTGACTACTTACTACTTACTACTTACTACTTACTACTTACTACTTACTACTACTACTACTCCTACTACTACTACTCCTACTACTCCTACTCCTACACCTACTCCTACTCCTACTCCTGTTACTACTAACCATGATTCCAGGGTTCGGTCGCAGTGAGGTCGTTGTAATTTTCTTCGCCCAGTTTCCAAGCGAAATGCTCCAGTTCCTCCGTCAGCGTCGACTTCGAAGCGTTGCCGAGGCAGAAGCTGCAGCGCCAGTGGAACAACGAGGCACACCTTGTGGGGCTTCAGCAAGGCTCGGAGTTCGTCTTTTTCAGCATCCAGCCGTAGATTCTGATGCTTCTTGGGCTATGATTTATGTCTGGTTGGTGGTTGAGGCAGCCTACCCCTCTGAAAAATATGACAACTCGTCAGTTGGGATGATGACATTCCCAACTGAATGGAAAAATAAAAGTCATGTTCCAAAGCATTTACCAGATTTATAGACGTGGATTTTCCACTATAAACCATCCAGCTATTGGGTACCCCCATGATTTTAAGGACCCATTTTGTGGCGCCTCTTGGCATGTTATCCCTTCAGGATGACACTGAGTCTAATTGTCACCGGTCTGAAGCTTGAAGTTCAAAGCCATGGAGTCTGTGATTGCAACATATTGAGTCTGGTAAACATGGGACTGGAAGCGGGCCAAAACCCGAGACTCAGGCTACAACAAAAACCTGTTCTCCGGGTCCCAAGTGTAGCAGGCTAAGATATCCCCCAGGGAGGTTTCCGTTTCAGCTGGTGACTTGAACAACTTTTCATCCCAAAGTCCCAAGGCAATCTGGTTGGTGGTGCAATCTGGCCATCTTGAAAAATATGAGTCAATGGGAAGGATGACAACCCATATATATATATATATCTATTATATATATATATATTAATTGGACAATAAAATTCATGTTCCAAACCACCAACCAGCAATCAATTGGCTTCATCATTTCGGATCAGACGTAAACGATGTTTTTCATGATGTTTGAACATGGAACCGGCCAACTTTTTCCGTCACTATGGACATTCCCATCTTTGACATGGTGTCTTCACAGCTCATTTTTTTTTGGGGGGGACAGGTTGTGACATCATTCCAAATCCCATAGTGGGGCCCCCAAAGGATAGCTAAGTCGGTTAATGACTCCAATAACTATAGGTTTATGGTAGATATAACGAACTAGTTAATGGGCTTTATAAACCAACTTATAACTCGGGGACACCACATTGTGGGTTTGACTAAAGCTCATGTACCCTTTTTCATCCCGTGTAAAAATGTAAAGCATTGTAAAGCCTCATGTTCATTCATGTTCTCCTTGTATTTAGGGGAAATACACCTTGCAGACCTTGCAGACCTTTCAGTAAATCCACCATTTTTGCACCCAGATCTCAACCCAGACACAGAAGGGCCGCAAGCTTCAAGCTCTTCGTTTTTCGCATGGCAACATTGCTATTCCACTTGCGCTACCAGCTGTCTCTACCCATTGGGATACTCACCAAGGATCATCATTGCAGAATGTGTGTCATAGCTATCAGCTACCACCTCACAACCTCTTGGCGTATGGCAAAATCCACCAACATCCACCAACAAGTCAATTCGTAGCTCGAACTGGCCACACGGACAGGTCTTGATCCAGCGGTGGGCAAAAGACGTGGCCTTCACGTCCAGTACAGTCTACATCTGGATTCATCTGAATATGTTTTTAAGCAGAAGTTAAGTTCAAGTACATCTGTGTATCATCCTTAACCTGACAAATTTTAAAACCATCAATTGATGTTTTTTCCCAATTTTATCCTGAACTCGGATGGCCGAATTTCATGATTTGTTCCTAATGTCTTGAAACCACCTTGTTTTCAAAGACAGGTACACCTGGTGGTTTTTCATGATCTGAGTTGAGTGTGTGTGTGTAAAACATCATCTAAACAGAAAAACAATAATTGTCAGAATTGTCTGCGGAAGATTTTGTTCCTTGCCAGCGCGTGCAAAAATGAAAACGAACTTGAAGTAACATACACAGTTATGGCCCGAAATACCACTTATAAGTAGTACAAAGTCACCTCATTTATGGAATATGAATGTATAATCCCATTGAAATAACATGAAATAACATGAAATAACCAGTTATGTCACCATGTCTTTCATTTCAATGGATTGTTTTAAGGGAAATTTTACAGGAAAACCCCATATGTAATGGGAAAATCTATGGTTTCACCATGGGATCTGAAGAGATCATGGAGCATTTCTGGTTCCTGGCCACATCTGGTGGTTTTTCGCCATCCTGGTTGCGCTGGATATACCTGGTTAATAATGGTTAATATTAATGGTTATTATATGGTTAATGATCTTGAATCATATGCTTTATCAATGATCATCTGACTATCTGGTTGGTGGTATACCTATATACTGTTAATAATGGTTAATATATGGATATATATATATATATATATGTGGTCAATGGTTAATAACTATCTGGTTGGTGGTTGCGCCAACACCTCTGAAAAATGATGGAGTGAAAGTCAGTTGGGATGATGACATTCCCAACTGAATGGAAAGTCATAAAAGCCATGTTCCAAACCACCAATCAGACATCATTAAAAAGAATATGTGGCCATGGTGCAGCACCCTTTTTTGTTACTGTGTTTCACATGAAAATAGTTGGAACATGGTGGTTTTCTGGTATTCAGTGCCAATCTTAGATACCCTGCAAAAAAAATAAATTCTTAGCTGGTGAATGTAGATAATCCCATTGATACCAAAAGACTAAAGGATTATAGTTTCTACATGTTTCTACTACGCTCTGGTAGACATTTACATAACTATGGAAAATCACCGTGGGTAAATCCACTATTTCGACTGGGCCATGTTCAATAGCTTTCTATTAACGTTTACCAGAGGGTACCATCTAAGATCGAATTATTGAACTTCATTCATGGATGTTCATTCTCCAATATTTCCAACCGGCCACTTTTGCCTTGGCATCCACGTCAATACGAATCTCTGACAAAGAACCTGGCATGGAAAGCCAGACAGGGGAAGATCATGGCAAAAATCATGGACATACTGTGGATGGTAGCGAAATCCTGCGCCACCAAACAGATGGTTGACATCCTATAAATAATGGGATAAACCACCAACTGGTGCAGGATTTCTTCCATCCACAGTATCATGGAAATATCATTGGATTGATTATGATGATTTAAAGTGATTTAACACTGACATGATTGAATCCCACAATGACATAACGAAGGGGATAGCAAACAACAAGCATATGGATGATTTTAGGTGGTTTTTCTGCAAACATATGTTTGTTGCTTGGGTTTGTACCGGGTTTGTCTCATGGGCACAAAAAAAAACAAGTTCTTAACCTTGTGGGGCCACCGTATCTGCAGAAACATGGTATATTTGGTGGTTTCCTAAAATGGAGGTACCCCAATAGCTGGATGCTTTATAAGGGAAAATCCTATGAAAATGGATGATTTATGGGGTACCCCCTATTTTAGGAAACCTCCATTTGACAACGTTGGTTCTGATCCCTGAAAAACCAAAACATGGAAAGTATAAACCCCAAATACTGTAGCTAGCGTGCAATCAAAACTGGTTGGTGGTTTCAACCCCTCTGAAAATTTGTAGTCAGTTGGGAATGTTGGGATTATTATTCCATAAATATATATGGATATATATATATATATGGTGGAACATAAAAAATGTTCGCCCCAACTAAATCCAGCCGAGGTCACAATCCATATAAATCCAAGGCGAACTTTGGAAGATCTTCGAACAATCCAAATCCAATATCACTATTTAGAGCATGGTGATACAGTAATAATACACTAAAAACAGTATGGCAATCATAAATTCCGAACTAGATGCTTGTCGGTGTCAACCCATCCCAACATGAAAGGCGCACTCGGGATCATACGTAATACATCACACATTTCCGAGGGCTAGATCCACATGGCCCGATGTTTGTTCAATCTCAAGCTTTGTTGGATGCCATCATTTCATCATCATTTCATTCATTTCCCTAATCTCATTTTTTTCATTTCCCCAGCTCTCCCCCAGCTCTGTTTCAGTTTCATCGGGCACCACATGTATCACATCGGGTTCCCAAACTGTGAAATTGTCGATCTATGGCGTTGACCAAAATCTCGTTGTAGATCTGGACCTAGGACATCGAAATCGCCCGCAGTGGCCTGTGGCCCAACTAACAGTTATAAATTCAATGGCCATTTCAGGAACCGATTGATTGGAGGTACCAATCCCATATAATCCCATATATAAGGCCTATTTTTTAGGCCTATATATGGTACAGTACCTCCATTTTAGGATCCTGAAATCCCCATTGATAAATGGGCTTACTTAAATGGTATCTTATAGTGAGATATAACCTGAGTTATAGGAGTTATAATTCCATTGTATAGTGATGATTTTTTCTGTAACCTTATAGTTATAGAAGTTATATAATTCCATTTTTAACATTTTACAACTGTTAGTTGGGCCATAACTATGGAATTTTCCTGAGTCATCGGGGGTACCCCCGAATCATTCGGTCATTGACTTAGTGTTGAAACAACCAGTTTGAAGTGGGGATCCCACATGACTTTTCAGAACCCGCCTATATATTTGGCTTTTTCACCCACTTTCTGAATGTTTATTTTGACACTTTTCAGAACCCCCCTATATAGGCTTTTTCACCCCACTTTCTGAATGTTTTATTTTGACATTTCGCTGGCAACAAACCAGAAAAAAACTCCCAAGTTTCCCATTTGTTTGTTGGCCAAATTATATACATCTGGTTGGTGGTTTCAACCCCTCTGAAAAAATATTAGTCAGTTGGGAAGGATTATCCCATATATTATGGAAAAAAATGTTCCAAACCACCAACCAGCTTCAATTCATCCATTTGGTTGTTTCTCCAAAATTGACGAACCCCAAACAACCGGATTCCATCCCCAAACAGTGTCAGTTCTGAAGAACCCCTCAGGAACTCTGAGACCATCAAACCAGATAAAGGATTCTCATGGATTCTCCATATTGAAGATACAGGATTATCAGAGAAAACCCCGGTTTCTATTCCTGTGGGAGCGCTGGCAAATCCTGGAATTGCCCCATCAAAATGTATCCTAAAATGACCAAACAAGGCAAATCTGCACGAAAAGCCCTTGGGGGTAACCAGATTCTTCTAGACTAAAACAAAACAACGATCGACTTACCCTCTGGTAAACGTTTACAAAAAACTATGGACAGATCCACCATGCTATCAATGGGCAAATCCACTATTTCGACTGGGCCATGTTCAATAGCTATGTTAGTCATTACCAGAGGGTATGGCAACCATATATCCATAGATTAATTATCCATAGATTATCCATATATTTCGCCATTTAAACTTCACTGCTTCAATGGTTCAGTCCACAGGGAAAAATCATGATCCATTGAAACATGGATATCCATAGATTATCCATAGAATATCCATAGATTATACATAGATTGAACATGGATTAAACCAAACCAAGCAGTTGGTCACCAATCATCGCTCACCTTTTTCTTCTACGCCAGCGCTTGCGACAGGTCCTCTAGGAGATCGGAGACGTCCTACCGGAAACGCGCCACGGTTGGGCCCCCAGTGGCCAGATGAGTTGGTTCAAAAATGGGCCAGTTCTATTCTGCTAGTGGTTCTTCATGGATTTTATGGTTATGAATTATGAATCATAGTTTTCCATGTTCATTTGGGTAGATATGGCTATACCATGGCTATACCAACCAATTGGTGGTTTCAACCCCCCTGAAAAATATGATATAGTCAGATTGGATCATCATCCAAACTATGGGGGAAAATAATATTCATGTTCCAAACCATCAACCAACCAATCATCCCCAAGTCCAACCAGAGTCCTCGATGCCAACGCTGAGCCGCAAGGTGGTATCATAGACGCCCACCTCCGCACGCTCCTCCTGCGGAGCCATGACGTCGGCCCGGAGCCACCGGAGGCATGGCGAAGCAGCTGCCGATACGTCGAAACAAAAAACGTATCGTTTTACATGTTTTGTTTTTTTTTAAATGTTGGCTAACCCATAGGATCCATGTATGCTATATATGGTAACATGGATCCCATCAATATACCCCAGTCATGTTAGCATTTTTCTACCAGCACCATGGATCCTATGGCTAATAGAATCCCCAGAATATTTTTCGAATTCACTTGATATCTGAGGGGTATATCATTTATATCTATTCAACAACCATGATTCCCCGAATTGTTCGTGGCGGATCATCCAACTGAATAACTGGTGCGACGGTCTCAACCTAACTCCATACGACATGCCTTTCCATTAAGCAGGAATATATTAAGCTACGATCCCAGTGCCAATCTTAGATCTGCCAAAAACAAACCTTAGCTGGTTAGTTAGTAGATCATCCCGTTGATACTTGATACCATCCAAGACTATTTTGGATGAGTTTCTACCCATCCAAGATTGACTAAAAAAAAGATCCCTGGGAAATCTCCGAAGTAAATGGAGGTTTCTGGGGAATTCACCTTAAATATACCTTAAATACACCTGGGGAATTGTCCATTGCCATGTTTGATTAACAAAGGGTAATCCGTGTTTCTGCCAATGATCATACCATATCATACCTATGTTGTAAGAAATCCATGAAAAAATACCATAAAAAACATAAACACAATAATAAAAAAACATACCACAAAAAAACAACATAACAAACAATGACTTTCTGCTCAAAAAATACAATAAACAACTTACCATAGCACCAAAGTTTTGGAGGTTTCATCCCCACATTGGCCCACATTGATACCCTCCAAACTAACAAAGATGTGGAAGATCACCATTTTCTACGGAAAAAATATGAACATATCATGAAAAAACATATGGCATTGTCCACATCTATGTAAAATTTACAGTAGCCTATATGCAATTCCAGCTCCGGATCATAATCTGAGTTGTTTAGTTGGGACCCTCACGAGCTCCCATTTCCACGGCATCTTTTCACGATATTGTGGGAACCTCGCACTTGATGAACCAGGAGCAATACCATCCCTACAGATCCAGCCGTTCCCTCTGGTTATTTAGACTAGCTATGAAAGTCATGGCAGCCCATGGACAGTTCGATGATAAAAAAACTGATTTAGCAAACAAAATAATGGTGATCTTCCAGTTCGCAAACGATGAAATAATCAGATGGTAACCACATATAAGAACATTTAACATCATCATATGAAACAAAGAATAAGTCTGAAATCACCAACAGGATCCATGTACGGTATATCCTTGGCGGATCCTTAATCAAGCCCACGACTAACATGAGTTTTCGACTCACTTAAGATCCTTTTTGTTTCGCCATGGTAGCCGGTCCCGACCTTGGTCATCGAACCATGGGACATGCTGGCGCTGTGGTTGATCATGCTTTCCTCGGTCGCTGATGTCGCTCCTACCCAGAAAAACCGTAACCCAAGCAACCGGAAAAAAAACCATGTGGTATGAAACGCACAAAGCACTGACAATAACTCTGAAAAACCAACTGTACGGTACCTATTTGTTTAGATACATAATGTGTATGTAAAAGTATGTATTGTAGTGTCGTGTAGTGTAGTCTAGTGTATTGTAGTGTGATGTAATACATTGTATGTGCAGATAGATCGATCGATCGATAGATATAAATAGATAGAAATAGAGAGAGAGAGAAAGAGCGAAATAGAGAGATAGAGAGAGAGAGAGAGATAGAGCGAAATAGCGAGAGATAGAGAGAGAGAGAGAGATATAGATAGATAGAGGGAGAGAGAGAGAGAGGGAGACAGAGAGAGAAAGACAGAGAGAGAGAGAGAAAGAAAGACAGAGATAGACAAAAAAAACACAGAAAGAAATAAAGATAGATAAACAGACAGACAGATAGGCAGACAGACAGACTGACAGACAGAAAGAAAGATAGATAGATAGGTAGCGAGACAGATAGACAGACAGACACAGACAAATAGATAGATAGATAGATGGATGGATGGATGGATAGATAGATAGATAGATCGATAGATCGATCGATAGATAGATAGATAGATGGATAGATGGATAGATGGATAGATGGATAGATGGATAGATGGATAGATAGATGGAACACATAAATAGGACAAATGGGTAGACACTTAGAATCTTAGAGACAGAGCTAATTATATATACATATATCATTATGTATATATATATGTATAATATAGATATACACATAGCAAGAGATAAGACAAATAACAACCAAATATATAAACCAACGTTATTCTATGGTGAGGACGGACGCTCAAATGGGCCTACTGGTGATCCACTGTTTCAAGCCGCCTGGGAGGCGGCTTGGAAACACCTGCTTTTTTTTTACCATTTGGGGATGATTTGAATCCAACCTGGTTGGTCATATACCAAGCCTTCTCAAAAATATGACTTCGTCAGTTGGGATGATGCCATTCCCAATATATGGAAAAATAATCCAAATGTTCCAAAGCACCAATCAGATGTGACTGTTGGGGATGGCTTATAGCAGTTGGATCTGAACTTACTTTGATGATTTTCCCAGAGACCTTTATCCAGAAAAGGGGATTTTGCAGCTGGCCATGTTTGATTACCAAAGGGTATCACAACATTTACAGCATCTCTTCCCCTGATCCTGATATCAGCATCAAATACCATGGTGAAAACAATGGTGTGGTGTTGGTGCTATTGGATCTATCATTTTGAACCTCTTATCTGGGGTATTTGAGATGGTGAACATTAATTATATTTCAAGCCCATCTATTCCATCTGATGAACGAGGCTTTTTGAAAGTTATAGCCATTAATAACCATCAATATCATCAGTCATAGTTTTATCCATTCACAACCCATACCCTCTGGTAGTTTAAAATAACTATTGAAGATCACCAATTTGAATAGGTAAAATCAACGATAAATGGGCCCTTTTTTATAGCTTTAACCCCAGTTCGGAATGCTCCAAGCTTCAACGCCTCCCAAGGATTCAGCGAGCACCCAAATTTTCAGGCGACTGAAAAACCTGAAAGCCGGTGGCCGGTGGGAATCACCGATTCAGATCATGAATTCATGCAGGATTTATATATATATATATACATATATTACCCTCCAGTAAATTAAGATAGACCCTAGCCAAAAATTGAGGTTGAAAGACTAGTTTCCACTATATATAGTTGGGTGTTTTCAGGGTCGAACAGTTAATTTACCAAAGGATATACAATATATATATATGTATATATATATTATTATATTATATTATATTATATTACATTATATTATATTTAGAGAATGGTTGGGGATTTCATCATGTCACGATGTCTCTATGACTCTATGAGTGGGATAGACATCTCCCAGTGGCCCCCCACTGAACCCCTGACACATACAAAAGGGGCAGGAAGTGAAAGGAGTTTTTTTCACATAGAAATATCAGGGCAAGTAGAGGATATAAATACTATGAATTAATTGATATATATATATATAAATTAATATGTTGATATACTTTCCGAAGAACCCCCAAGAGGACTAAAGTGTGGGACTTGGACGAAAACTAGATCCTACCAGTAGCAGCCTGAAAATAGAAAAGATGGGAAAGGAATTGCAAGCCTGGAAACTTTGAAGGAAAAACACCTGAACTGCCTGGAGTGACGGTTCCATCAACCGGTAGCAGTGAAACCCATCAACAGGTTTCCTTGTCTGGACGAAGAACCATACGTACCTTCACTCTCTACGTTGGGTGGATGGGATCCAATGTACATCTCAAAGCACCAAAATGACATGGCGGTCTGCTTTTATATGACTTTAAGACCTCTATCCAGTTGGATGCCCCGCTTGTTCTGTACCGGAACCGGTGTCATCAGCTCCATGGCTTGTCTCGTTTATCCCCCTTTTGGTTCAATGATTTTCCAGTTAGGCCACCAGGATTTCACGCCTGCGCATGACCTCCAAATCATCGCTTCCATCTTTCCCTGAAGACATCTGAGCAGTGTATAAAATTGTTGCGGGCCCAAAGGAAAAACATCTAGACATATTATATAAATTTATAATATATATATATACAATCATTGAATGACTGATGTTCCATTCTTGCCAGGGAGGACAAACAACTCATCAACATCTCATTATACCCCAGTTTAGAAAGGGTAAATTGATCCACCCACTTACCAACACCATTCCCTACTGGAAGGCTTCGTTGATATTCCCATTTCTTCCCGGTTAACCTATGGACTACAATACTCTCTCGCCACCATTTAAATGATTTCCGATGTGTGTCCCAAAAACAACATGTGTATCCTATGAATCGATTCTTGGGTATAGAAACAACTACCGAATATGTTTTACGAACTCATCCAATACCCTGTTTCTTGATGTTTTTTTCAGGTAACAATTCCCACAATCATCCAAAAAATGATTTCATCCAATCGTGTCGCTGGATGATTACCTTCGGACCTTGATAAAATCACACATTGTGCTGGTGAAACACCATCTGAGACACCATTTGGGCTAGCTAACGCACATGGATCATTGACTGTTTCTTGTAAAATCGGTTGTTCTTCAATGTCTATATAATCCACTACTTGGTGGACCGGTCTTGGTTACAGCACTTGCAAGTGGTTTCAACTAACTTGTAACCCGATTACAAGTGCCGCAACATAGGTTGCAAGAAGGCTAAGTAGTTCAAGTTTGCGGTCTATGTTATGCAAGTTACAAGTAACTTGTGCGACTAAGCATACTTAGCTAAGTTTTTATAAGTAGTTCATGTTGTTTCATAAAACATACGTAAAATTACATAGAAGTTACTTACAATACATAGGTTTTTCAAGGTTTCTGAAACAATGTTTTTATTTTTATAGAAAAAAGTTTGGTTAATTGATTCAAAACTTGACATGACCATATCAAACTTATTTTTTGAACACGAACCTTTTGCATGGAAATAACAACAGTGAAAATTATTTTGGGCAAAGAAAACGCTGGAAAGCACTGGAGTGCCAATGAGATTTCGGCGTCCACATTTGTTTGAAGAAACATCTGCATACAGTATACATGTTTCTTTACACTGTCATTGCCGCGGCTCAATGAGCCGCGTTTTTACGCGTAATGGACTTTGAAGTTCAGTGTTTTTTCATGTATATGGCACTGAGTGACGGCGTTCTGTTGTGCCACATCGTGGTCAGCAAAAATGGCAATCAGGTCCATGCAGGGACCCTTTTGCGTGCATTGGTTTTGTTCAGTTCGTAAATTCAATTTGCGATTTGCGTTTGTTCGAAGCTGGGAAAATCAGTGATTTGTTTTGCTGACCTTTGACATGTCATGAGTGAACCTGCGGCCCATTGGGCCGCTAGATGTTTTCATGTTGGTGTGGTTTCGTAAATCAAATTCCCGACATGGTGTAACCTACAGGAACATTTTAAGGTACCGTTCATTTCTCTGCTGGTTTCACGCAGTTTCTTGATCGTTAGTGTCTAGGTAGGATTGTCCGCTTTTAGTGACGATGAAGCGCGGATTTTTGTTGACTACCAGGGCGGCTTCCACCGATGCAATGACTAAGAAGCTTGAAGGCAAAGTCGTCCTTGAGGAGGGCACTGGCAAGATCGCCAATGACAAGTCCGAGCACAAGGACTTCAAAGTTGTGACTGAGGATGATGGCGATGACTGGAAGATGACCTATGTCAAAGTGAAGGATGAATTTCCTGGTGAGAACGGTTTCTCGGTGCGTGTTGAGAATGGCAAGATCACCATCTCCAAGTAATTTTTCCCAATGAGGAACTTTCGAAACTATAAGACATCCACTTGCTGAAGGATTTTTGGTAAAAATTCAACTTGTGTGTTGCCATCATGTGTGTTTTTAAAATGATGCGTCTCCATGGGTCGCAAATGGATTGGATCTGTAATCAATCTCAACCTGCGCGGCTCAATGAGCTGCGGAGGAATCTTGATTTACTGTACTTATATGTTGTTGTAATATATCAGATCATGTAGACCAGAGAGAAAACTACAAATGTTTGAAGGGATTTTTGTCCAAGATAGTGTGAGGTCAGCCGCCATGGCTTTCGAGAGATTGAAGGCACTTGACAATTACCTTGCGCAGTGCAAAGAGCTGCCAAACTTTTCTGACATTTTGGAACAACAAAGCATTCAACTCGTCAAAGAAATCCGTGAAGTTCCGAAGTTGGAGCTAGAGCAAGCAGCTCCTCTCCTAGCTTTAGTTCAGCAGAACTCTCTTTGGACTGCTTCTTTGAAAGAAACAATTTGTCAGGCCATTCATGAGAAAGTTCAGGAGTCCCTAAAAGGGAAAATCGTGACCAACAGGGCCAACCTGCAGAACTACGTTTTCTTTCCCGAGTACCTCACTTCAGGAGACTGGGACGTTTTGATGTCGAATCAAAACATTGGCCAGAAGTGCAACACGGTGATGGAAAGGTGCTACCGACTTGGTCTTCGAAATCCAACTGAGGCCACGTATGCCATGGTATGCACATGCCTACTTTTACGTGACCAAGATCGATTTGCGGAACCTGTGACACTCCGATCCTCTTACCTGACCACCAAACAGCTGGCCAAAGGTTTTTTGAATCAAAAACAAAAAGCAAATCTTCCTTCAGGAGAAGTTCATCAGTATTTGCCTCCATGCCCAAGGTCTTTGGAAGCTTCTCGGTGGACAGCGGCCTATGGTGAAGATAAGCCTGCTGCCAAGTTTCCTGATGGTGTTACCATGGAACTCCTTCGACAATTGATGGCTACTGTCCCGGAAAGAGGCAATAGCGCATTGCTTCGGGTGCAACACCAAGTTCAGGGAGCACCAGCCGCAGCTTTTGTGAATCCTTTCTTCATGCAAATGGCCATGCAAATGAACCAGATGCAGATGGGCATGGGTTCGACTTTTTTTCATAGAGGAAGTTCGCAGCAGAGCGCAGCATTGCCACCATTGCCAGCCTTGCCAGCCCTGCCACCTCCAGACACACCTCCATTGGCTTTGCAAGTTCAACCTGCACCCACCCCTGAGGAGACTTCAAGGCCCAAGATAGAAGTGGTTCAGGATAAGAAGGTGGAACAGACAAGTTTGAAGATGATTGCAGACGGCAAGGTGGATGGTGACAAATCGACACCCGAAAGCAGCAACGCTGTGACCACTGCAGCGACCGCTTCTGCGAGACTCGAGGATGCGTTGCATCTCCGGGAGCAAGACAGAAAAGCAGAGAAGAACGAAGTGAAAAAGAAGGATGGAGATGGTGGAATTCATGGGGAAGAAACGACACAAACTCCAGAGAAGGAGAACGAGGATGGAAATCAACAAAAAGGTATGAAGCGCCCAGCTGCTGCATCTTCCCAGCTGTCAGCCAAGCCTAAGGCAGCTTCCAGGGTGCCTATGAAGAGGCCTGCGTCAGCTTCCAGCTCCAAGGCCGCTCCAAAGAAGCCAGAAAAAGCTAATTCCAAGGGCCCCATTACCAGACAAGTGAGGTTGAAAAAAAACCTCAGGGTTGCAGCAAGTGTCGCTTTGTGCCTGGATGCTGTGATTCCTGTTGGAGGCAGAGAGGCTACAGGGTAGTGTAGTTTTCAAATAGCGTGAAGACGAAGCACTTGCGGGCAAAAAGTTGGCTGCTCTGCGTTTTTTTTTGGTGGGTTTTGTTGCATGTGCGGCTCATTGAGCAGCAACAACAAACTGTAGCATGAAATGTTTGCTGTTTTTTGGGTGTTTTGTTGCATGTGCGGCTCACTGAGCCGCAAAAACAAAATGTATTATAATATGTTTGCAGTACGGTAGTGTTTTGATGCATGTGCGGCTCATTGAGCCACAAAAACAAAATGGACCATGACATTTTTGGCAAGAGCGGTCCAATGGAGCCGCCTTCTGAATTGAAAGTGCATGCATGGGAGCATGGAATAAATTGAATCAGCATGCTGTTTTTTCTCAAAGCATTTTTTTGAAATGCGCAATGTTGGGCTACTACGAAGCGTGGGCCTATGCTGATGAGGAAAAGGCATCCTTCTACCGACTTTGGGATGAAGCTTTAGCTGCCCAGAACAATGAACAGCTTTACAAAGACTGGGATGATGCTGAGAAGATGGAAAAACGAGTGCATGATGATTGGGATGATGCCGAGAAAATGATGAAGCGCAAGAAAAGAAAGAAAAGAAATTGCCGACACCAGTGAAGAAAAGGCAAAAACATGAACCAAAGGAGGTTGCCAAAGATGAGACAAGCCAACCAGTTACTAAGGTCAAGGAAGAATCCGAGACAGAGAACAGTTCCTGGCAGGAGCCCAACGAGAAGAGTGAGTGGGCACACTACAAGGGTGCCAAGGAAGAGGAGTACGAATGGGACCAAGACGACTGGCAAGACAATGTGAAAAAAGAGAATGAGCCCATCGAAGTGAAAGTGGAACCAGCTCAGAATGATGTCAAGGTGGCGACAGGTGGTGGGATTGACCACATTGGCCGGCTGCGCGAAGTTCTGCTGAATACACTGCTGGCGGATGCCGTCATCCAAGCCAAAGGTATGACTTCGGTGCCAGATGGTTTGCAGACAAAGGCTCAACCTCCTTTGGTCAAAGCTATGCCCACGACCCCAGTGCATGTGGCGCCAGCGCCCAGTAATTGCACGCCACCTTGGCAGTCACCATCTTTGCCGCCGCCCCCGGTGCCGCCTCCCAAGAAAGAACCTGTACCTGAACCAATTCGCCCTCCAATGTGCAAGGTGCAGCTGCCTCTTCAACCAGAGGTTGTTCACCAACAGGTGAATCAAAAATGCACTGGAAAGGCAGGGAAGCACCACGAAGGTTACTATTACGTTTCTTGCTCATGTTCAACATTTTTTCTATTGGTATTTTAAGTTTTGTTTTCAATCGGATACCTTATATAGTAGATTTTGTCTGTGTGTGTGTGACTAAGGAGCTTTTCGACTCCCGACGAGACTACGAACGTATGGTCAGAAACCAGTTTCGTTCTCGTGGTGGCAGAAACAAAAAGG